TGTCGGCGAGGAGGAGCCACCTGCTGTCACAGACACCGGTCGTCCACGCCGTGCAGCCGCGCCCACCTTTAAAGGCGACTCCACCGAGGTAGACAGTGCGCCAGTTAGCCGTCGGGGCCAGCTTGGCAAGGACGGCGAACCAGTGGAAAGATCATCGGCTCGGCGTGGTGGACGGGGCGGAGGTGCTCGCGGTGCACGACGCGTGAAGACCGCTACTCAACCTGATTCGAAGGCCCAGGTGGTAATACCACAGGGCAATCTGCCTCCGATTGTACCGCCAGCACCACTTCATGCTGGAAGCGAGATGGAATTGGTCTCAGATCACATTTTGGAAGGGTATGAGGCCCGGGAACGAGAGCGATCCGAAAAAGAATCCTTACCGCCAATTCCGCGAGGCAGGGTGGGACGCGGGCGAGCGAAAGAAGGAGTCTATGTCTTTGAGTCTACTGAAGTTGAACCGCCTCTGGCAACCAAACAGCTTGAGACGGGGTATGGCTCCTTGCAACCAACAAGTTACTGGTCTGTGCCAGAACAGCGCGATTTCCCGGCTCTGCTAGGACATTTTGGTCGTGATTTTGAGGGTATCTCGAGCTGGATGAAGACCAAGACCACGGTGATGGTATGTATTGGGTCCTTTCGTCCCATGTTTGTGTTTGTTGACTAGCTGGCTAACGTGCATGATGCAGGTCAAAAACTTCTATCAACGCCGCCTGGACTCGGGCCAGAAAGACTTTGAGTTGATTCTAACGGACGCAGAGGAGAAGAAGGCTCGCGGCGAGGCTACAGGGCCGCTTCCTGTTCCAAGTGTTGCGCCAAAACGACGATACGAGGCAACTCCATCTTCTATTATCCCTCGTCCACTTGCCCCTCATGGGGATCCTATGGCTGAGATCGATGAAATACGATTCCCTAAAGGCAAGGCTGTTGGTCTCTCACCGCAGCCCATGTCCCTGCATGGACGACCTCCGTCCGACAAGGACCGGAATGTCGGTCGCTACCAGCCACTCGCACAAGCTTCCGCTGCCTCACCAGTGCCCTCTACCGCAACTCTAATTGAAGAGTCGACTCGGGCAATTCGCGCACAAGGGGGACCATCCCACCGCATTCAGGGCCCACGCCTTGGGTATTTTACAGAGGATAGACGAGACTCTTCGGTATTGCCGCATGCCACTTCTCGTGCGCAAGAACTACCAATGTCCTCCCGCCATCCTGGCTCCATGCCACCGGATATGGCACGAATGGAACCTTTGTCCGCACAGGCCTATATGCCCGCACAGCAGCAAACTTCTCTCCTTTCATCGACCCACTCACGTCACGCCAGCTTAACACAAACCCCCGGCTCGCCAACCCAGCAGCTCAGACCAGAACTCGACATCTCGTCTGTTCATCGCGATCCCTTTGCCCAAAGACCCTATTACTCGCTCGCAGGTCAGCCCATGGGTCTAGCCCAGTCGCCTCGCACTGGATTGTCGCCAGTGAAGGATGTTCCTCGCCCGAGTGCTACTCCTGCTCCCGAAGCAACTCGTCAGGTGCCTGCAAAACGGTCTAACATCATGAGCATCCTCAATGATGAACCTGAAGAGCCTCAGCCGCGCAAACGATTTGCCAGCGAGCAGGCTCCATCTGCCCCTGGCGCAACCCAAGGCATAAACCCAAGGCCCGTATACCAGGCCAGTGGACCTCCTCGCCATGAAGACACAATTATGTCAGGTATGCCGCAAAAGCCATCTGGTTACGCCCAGCAAAGCCAATATCAGCCATCGTCTCGCGGCTACTCAGAGTATCCCGGCTATGGACCCCCTCATGGTGGCTCGGGCACGTCGGCGAATAATGACTGGATGGCACGGTTTGATCCGCGGGCGCAGCAAACTCCGCCGCAGCCTCAAGCCCAATCTCTGCCATCACAGCAGCAGCAAAGCGGCCGTCAGGGTTCCTATTCATCTTACGCGGCAACCCCGAGCCAATCTTCCTTGACTAATCTTCCCGCGCCATCCCCAGCGCCGACCCCCCCACCAACAAATGCCTCTCAACGATCGGCTTATCCCAACGTTTTCTCCCAAGGCTCCTCTGCTCAACCACCCATGGCCTCTGGATCCCGTGATATGGCCTCGCAACCGGCTTCTTATCGACAAGGGTCACCTGGCCCGCGTTCGAGTATGGCATATGCATCGCGACAAGATCCACCAACGCCAGCGCAGTCTTCGGCTAGCCTGTATGGTATGCATCCGCGCCAGTCCGGAACGCCAAATCCAGTACAGCAACACAGCTATCAACAACATGTGCAAACAATGGTCAGTGGATCGCATCAGCCGCAATCCCACCGCTCAACAACTGTCAACTTACCCGGTGCTTCTTCGCAGTACGGGCACAACACCCCTCCTCCCCAGTCCCAAGCTGGCCGGTCAATGGCATCGCTGGCGAGCCTCGGTCGCTCATACACTCCTCCATCGGCTCTGCATCCCTCTATGAGCGGAGGCACCATGGGCAGCTATGCTCCCCCTCAGTCATCGGCCCCTGGATCGATACCGCCGCTCCACCAACGACCTCCAGGATCGCTTGGTGACACTGTCTCCACCCCGACACATCACCGTGTTTACAGCCATGGGTCGGCTCAAGGCGGACTACCGCCACCTTCGCATCCTCCTCGCTAGGGTCCCATGCTCGATTGATTTGAATGAACTTTACGTGGAGTGTAAGACCGTAATGGGTTCGGTTGTACATTAATTTGTCATCTTTGTGTTTCTTTCTCTTGTTTAGCGTCCTGGCGTCGTTGCCAGCGAGGATATTCATTTGATCATGGTTTATATGTATAACTAGATGAATGATTTTATGTGTCAAACCTTGGATGTAATGAATCTGTACAAATTTGTAGTACTATTGTAGTAATATTGTAGTACTAAATTAATATCTACAATGTCAAGTGAAAACTGGTCCTCATCAGACATGTGTTAGCGGTCCATCTGGTTCATATGGCTGGGCAGATTCCACTCGTCATAGTCCAAATGCACAAAGGCACGGTCGACAGTTGGCACACTCTCGATGATGTACTGCAAACTCTCGCCAACGTCATGACTATCCCGCAAACTGATCTTCTCATCCACAACAAGGTCAACCTCAACGTTCAGCTTGTCACTCGCGTAGTAGGCTTTCAAGTCCTGAATCTTGTGGATCACCCGGGAGAACCGCATGGTCATATACAGCAGAATGCTATGGTCGTCGGGAGAGGCAGCTGCACCTGTCAACCGCTGGATGTATTCCGCAGCCGTCTGACCCCAGTTCCACATGATGTAGAAGGAGAGGAACAGACCACCCAAGGGATCCAAGTACCAGAGATTTGCAACAGTGCCAACTGCGATCGTGGTTTGTTAGTTGGTGCCCTAGTGGTGTTCAGGAATAAGAAACAAGGGATAAAATTTACTTAGTGGGAAGATTATGCTGAAAGTGTTGAAAACAACGTCAGTCATGGCATCCTGGGCCAAGACCTGGACGCTTGGGCTAGGGATCAACCGGCAGTAGATCCAGCAGAGCAGCTTAACCAAAACAGTACCACCCATCAATGCGATAGATGGAATGGATAACTTAACAACCGTGTGGTCGTCTCCAATCAGTTGTTTGATAGACGATAGTGCTACTTGGAAAAAGGAAGTCACCATGATCACCGAGAAGATCAATACACTGATGGGCTCTAACCGCCGTCGGCTGATGGGATACCGGTTGCGATCTTGTCGGCGGATCATAATGGTGGTCACCCAGACAATCACCGTGCTGAGAAAGTCCAAAACTCCATCAACCAGACCTGCTAGCATAGACATGGAGCTAGTCATCGCCATGATAGCGATCTTTGAGGCTAGGAGAGCAACGTTGGCGACAAAATTGATGCGAATGGCCAGGTTGATGACACGCTCCTCGTCATCTGGGGACATCCAGCCATGCGATTCAAGATCAGGGAATGGCTCTAATGGGCTATCTTCTGCCTCAGGAGATTGAACCAAAGGTGTTGTCTCATCGGGAATCCGATAAAGATTATGCGGGGTGCGTTTGATCCTTCCGATCTTGGGATTGAATTCTGGTGCCTCGGCCTGATTATCTTCTAGCGAGGGCGGTTGGAAAAGCCCGTTCCCCGAAACATGGTGATTGCATCCGTTGTAGTCCTCGATCAGGTTATGGGGTAACGAAGAGTCTAGTAGTCGGTCAATATAGAGATATTGGGAGATCAGTCCATTGTTTCGTTCATGATATTTCCGACTATTTCGGGGGTCAGTTCCTAGTTCATTGAGATGAGTAGTGAACCAACATTGCCTTTGGGAGATCCTTTAATGACTCAGGTGATTTGTAGTAGCGTTGCCTGCGGCGCGGGTTAGGACTGTAAATTGGGACAGAAGGGAGGTACATAGTACCATTCATATCGAGGATTACTGCGTCCAATCAACAATGATCCACGTCGAAGAATGAGTCGCCGTTCGGATGTATCGTCATCGAGATCATGCAAGGCAAGGCTAGATGTGCGAGAAGGTAAAAGGTTCACTAAGCGTTGACCTCGAGTGGAAAGAATTTCACGCTCCAGTTCTAGGCTTGGGCGCCGCGGACGTAGAATGGGCGAAGGCGACGCTGGAGGGGAGGAAAGTGGAAGAAATGGTTGGGAAGACATCAATTAGCGTATACTAAAGTGAAGAAGTGAAGCTATAATACTGTACGGAGGATAAGACGCGTATGGTCACCTGATTAGTGCCTTAGTGATTAGGTGTCGAGGTAGAGGTATACATCCAGTTACTATACCATATCAACTATATTAGACGTAGATAGAATAATACAACCATACTGACACTACCTACATATGTATGTATGTATATAGGGATCTATATATGAGGACCAAGTTGGACTTGCCGAAAGTAGCATAGTGGCTGAGAGCTTCGGGACTTTAAGTCTGCCCAGGTGTTCATCTTCTTCATCTTCTCTGATTCTGTCTCTCTCAAGAATAAACGTTTGAACTTCAATATCCCATGAAACTCGCCAGTGAAAACGAGATTGCCTTTATCTCAGGTCCGATCGACACTGGACCTAACGAATCCTATTTTCATACTCACTACGTATCCCAAATCAACCACGCGGTCAACTGCAATCACCTCTTTGCTATCGGTCCCATCCCAAGTGGTGTGGACGCAGATGCTCTCACCTATCTCTTGGCATACCCCATCTCACCTAGTCGAATCACCATCTTTGTGACCCAAGCTGAGAATGGAATGTGGGGGGCGCACTTCCGCTCTTTCGGAGTCAACGTGCAGGTGGTGGAAGGCCAGATGAGTCGTGATCGAGACGCGGCTCTAACAAGTGCGAGCACGTATGATATTCTACGGGTGCGCACAAAGAAGGAGGCGAAGGCCTTTTATGGCCGCATGTGGCGCGACGGGTATGTCACGAATACAGAGCGCAATTGGAAGCGACGTCGGGGAATCGCAGAGGATGAGATTGTAGGAGAGGAGACGATCAATCGTTCAATGCGGTATGACTTGGGACCAACTCTAAGCACACACACAGACGTCTGTTAGCACAAGCCAACAAAATGTTGCAAAGATAATACATATAGTTACTACGTTCTATGTAGTAGCTCTCTTACGCTTATCCTTTCAAAATTCAAAGCACGTATGATATCCTACTTTGCGATATAGAAGTATATATTTATATACATATGTATTTTGGAAATGAAATAGAATTAATTTCCCTGCGGAAATTGAAGTCTCAGTGTTCCGCGGGGAAACCGTTGAGAAAGTGCGGAATGAGCATTCCGTCTATGCGCGGTGGAGACATCTTCCCCCGGACTGGCGAGTTGTGCATTGACCTATGGAAAACTGCTTTTTACTGATTCTGTGACTTATGACTGGCCAATGAAGTGCCATGTCACCCATCACCGACAGCTTTCTTTCCATAGTTTTGTATGCGAGTCTCTAAACTCGGAAATATGCCGTAGCCGAGCCAAACGGAACCCTGAGATGCAGAGGGCTATAAGAGATGCATGCATCTCCCACTGGCCATGAAAGCCTGCAATTTCTTGTCAATTTCACTCTATCATGGCGATCCAAACACTTGCTGTCGCCGTTATCACGGTGGTTTATTTCGTCATCCGTTATTTCAATCGCACTGATATCCCTAAGATTAAAGGCATCCCAGAGATCCCCGGCGTACCCATCTTTGGCAACCTGTTGCAATTGGGAGATCAGCATGCAACTGTCACGGGGAAATGGGCAAAAAAATTTGGCCCAGTTTTCCAAGTGCGCATGGGAAACAAGGTATGTCGCTTTCGAATCGGATGTGACCATGTACAGAATTAATTATCTAATGACCTAATAGCGCATCGTGTTCGCCAACAGCTTTGAATCCGTCCGTCAATTGTGGATTAAAGACTCGTCCGCTCTGATCTCGCGCCCGACTTTCCACACCTTCCACAGCGTTGTCTCCAGCTCACAGGGGTTCACTATCGGAACTTCCCCGTGGGATGATTCCTGCAAGAAACGGCGTAAGGCAGCTGCCACGGCGCTGAATCGACCGGCCGTGCAATCGTATATGCCTATCATCGATCTCGAATCCAATTCCAGCATTAAAGAGCTATACCGGGACAGCCAGAATGGCAAACGTGACGTGAATCCCACTGCATACTTCCAACGATTCGCGCTCAACACCAGTTTGACTCTGAACTATGGGTTCCGCATCGAGGGCAACGTGGATGATACGCTGCTGCACGAGATTGTGGACGTGGAGCGTGGCGTGTCCAACTTCCGCAGCACTTCGAACAACTGGCAGGATTACATTCCCCTGTTGCGCATCCTCCCCAAGATGAACAATGAGGCCGCAGACTTCCGGGGTCGCCGTGATAAATATCTGACCTACTTGCTCGATATGCTCAAGGATCGGATCGCCAAGGGAACTGATAAGCCTTGCATCACCGGTAATATCTTGAAGGATCCCGAGGCTAAGCTGAATGATGGTGAGTTACAAATGATTCCGTGAATACCGATGTGAGTACTAATCTGTTGTCTAGCCGAGGTGAAATCGATCTGTTTAACTATGGTGTCGGCTGGCCTTGACACTGTTCCGGGTAACTTGATTATGGGAATTGCCTACCTGGCATCTGAGGACGGCCAAAGAATTCAGAAAAAGGCCTATGATGCAATCATGGAGGTCTACCCAGACGGGGATGCTTGGGAGAAATGTTTAGTGGAGGAGAAGGTCCCCTATGTGACTGCACTTGTCAAGGAGATCTTGCGGTTCTGGACGGTCATTCCTATTTGTCTGCCACGCGAGAGTACCAAGGATATCCAGTGGAATGGAGCTACAATCCCTGCTGGCACGACTTTCTTCATGGTATGTTGCTCCTTGCTTCTGTCCTGTTCGGGCTTTGCTAACAGGGGCTTTAGAATGCATGGGCTGCCGATTACGACGAAGATCACTTTAAGGATGCTGATAAATTCATCCCGGAGCGTTATTTGGAGGTCAATGAGGGCGCAGGCACTCCGCACTATGCATATGGAGCGGGATCACGTATGTGTGCAGGCTCACATCTCGCCAACCGCGAGCTATTTACTGCTTTTATCCGCCTCATCACTGCTTTCCACATGCACACGGCGAAAGAGGCGGCCGACCGACCAATTCTGAATGCAATTGACTGCAATTTGATTGCCACAGCCTTGACAACCGAGCCGAAGCCATTCAAGGTCGGCTTTAGCGCACGCGACCCTACGAAGCTGGAGCAGTGGATCGCTGAGAGCGATGAACGCACCAAGGATCTATAAGAGGAGACTATGGCATTTTTTTTTTTAAAAAAAATTATTTGATGTGGTTCCCTCTATTTGTCTGAGGCCATTTACGTATGTACTAAAATATGTGAAATAAAAGACAATGAAGTGTAGATGTAGCCCTGGAGACCAGTTGGACCTATATAATTGCCGACTTTAGCCTCTCCGTAGGCCATTAGTTACTTAAAACAGGAATTGGAGTGATATAGATGTATTAATATCTGTTTATTCTTCGACCCTCCTAAATTATTGTGTATCTTCATGTTTTCAGTCTCATCTCTCTCTCTCACTCTCTCTCTATATAACCGGCTTGTGGCCCCCGGCGGAATTTCCCCGCATTTTCTCGACTCCACTCTTTTCTTCCAAAAGGTTCCTCTTCATCCTACTTTGTAATCCATTTGAAATGACACACCCCATTTAATTGCATATTGCATCGTTTTATATGATGAATACTCTACAGATGTACCCTGCCCCCGAGAGCTGGCATAACCCACCCTCGGTGGAAGATAATGATGATCGCCCGAAGAAACGCCGCAAATACATCGCCAAAGCCTGGTCAGTTTGGAAAGGATCTTATTGAAGAGATCGATGCTAACGAAATCGCAAAGCAATGGATGTAAACGTCGAAAAATCAAATGCAATGGCCAGTCACCCTGTCAGCGTTGCGGACGCCAGCATATTGAGTGCATTTACGTTGAGAACTCTCGAGACAGTCCCGCCGAACAAGAGTAATGCCCACTGCTAGCTCGGTGCGTTTGAACACGACTAATTTTGCGTTTAAAGCAATTTCAAGCAGCTTTTTGATCAAATGAGGGCCATGCAGGACCAGATCACCCAGTTGTCTGCTAGTATTCGGTCAATAGCCAGCAGCGAACATTCTCCTGGTGTTTCCGCTACCGGCACCCATGGACAGCTCCCTACCCAACGTTCACTCAGGCGCTTGTCAACAGCTAGAGAGACGTCATTCCAAGGCCCAACGACATCGGCCTTTAGTTTCGACCTTGCGAAATCCAGCCTGCAGCAGCGTGGGATTGTGGAACGTGCCGAGGCTGGCGACGAGGGCGACATGACCCAAGAACCTTCACCACTGGCATCACCATCGGCTCCAAATGAGGAACTCGAAACGCGGCAGACCCTTGATCCACTTTGCATTCTTCCGAAAGCCGAGGCCCTTCGCCTTTGTCAAGTATACGAGGAGGAAATGGGCATCATGTATCCGGTTCTGGAGCTTTCGGAGATTTTGGACCAGGTTCACCTTCTCTACGGCTCGATGGACCACGCGCTTGAACTGACCCACCAGCCCGATGGACACAATGGACTGGTCGACGAAGACGTCCATATTCTACGTGTAGTATTTGCGTGTGCATTGACAGCCGAAGCCAGTGGTCGGAGTGAACAGGCTATTGCTCTTTTTGACAGTGTACGAGAAGTTCAGGACAATTGTGTCTGGGGTCCGCCCGAAATCAAGAACATCACATTTTTGACTCTTGTGGTTCGTCATGCCCAATCAATCATGAATTCTCGACATGCTAATTGCACCGATAGTCAATGTTCTATTTTCAAATGGATGAGGAAATTCTGGCATGGCGCACCGTTGGTATTGTTGAGCGCATGTGTCTCGAGAAAGGTCTTCACCGACGGGAAACTCTGAATCAACCAGCCATCATAGCTGTAGGGAAAGATCGCGTTCTGCGACTCTTCTGGTCTATATATATTCTGGATATGCGGTGGAGCTTTGGGACTGGCATGCCCTTTGCTCTGGAAGATACAGATATTGACCCTTGGCTGCCAGAACCCGCCGACAAAACGCCCTATCTGCGCGTGATGATCCGGTACAGCCGGATCGCAGCGAAGGTATGGAAGTTCATATCAGCATTTAACAACACGAACGAAATCAAAAAGGAAGAGATGAACTATTTGGATTGGCAGGTGTTGCGTTGGGTACATGCCATTCCAGACTCGTTGCGGCTCGATCATCCGAGCTCTGCGGAGTCTGAGACGGCCACCGAAGGCTCACGGAGCCTGCGCAGACTGCGTGCCCTCCTTTATCTTCGTGCTAATCAGCTACGCATGCTCATTCACCGTCCCGTCCTTCATACTTCAGCACATGTTATGCGGTATCCAGGCGAGTCAGAGACCGTGGTGGAAATTGCCAAAGATACAATTCGCTTCATTACCCGCTTGAACGATACATCGGACATCTACCATTTACAGCAGGTAGCATTTAATTGGTTCCTCGTCTCGGCCCTTGCAGCTTTATTCCTGGCAGTAGCCCAGGCGCCAACACAATTCAGCGGGTCGTGTAAGGAGGAATTTTATTGGGCTTTGGAGCTGGTCAAAGGAGTCTCCGCCCAGTCTTATATCTCTCGCCGATTATGGAAGTCTATTCGAAGCCTCCGTAAGCTTGGTCCTCAATTGGGCCTGGGGGTCCAGAAAAAGCGCCTGGATAACGAAACGGGAGTTGAAGGTGAACATTTGAATCCCCATGGCTGTCCCGCATTGTCCCAATCTGCCAGCACCCAGAGTCAGACACCACAGGATGGGGAACAAATGTCACAGGAATTGATGGAGTGGTTTGAAGCCGTGGGAACTTTGGAGGATCAAATCATGGGGATGGGAACGGGCCCTGCGCCAGATGGAGGACCTTACCAGCAGATGCCCGACGGGGGTTTTGTTTTTGATTACGGTGAAGAATTGTCGAGTGTGATGAAGGACTTCTTCTGATTATGTACAATATACAACATACATCGACCGGTTATAGATATACGACTTTGAAAGAATGGGTGGCAGATGTTAAGAATGACAATATCCAAGGCCGTTGTCATATCCAAGGCTGTCTTCGCATTTGTGACTGCATTAAGGGTTTTGCTGTGTTTCTGATATCACAATGAAATGTGTAGTATATCGGGGAGAATATTCCAATATGAGAGATGTGAAAAAAAGAACAAAGCGAAGTGATACATGAAGGTGTGAATTCCTCTGGGGATTCTATTTCTTCCCGGTTATACCTTGCCAACATTGCCGTTGATCTAGTAGATATATTTGAATTCCAGTTCTCCATCACCCGTCTGGACTCGTCGAGTCTCTTCCTTTTCACCACTAATAATTTGCTCCTTCACCTTGTTCTCCCGTCTCAAGTAGAGACCATATCCAGTTACCGTGACCTGCGCCACCACAAGGGACCCCAAGGAGAAGGAGTTACCCAACACATAAGGTGATGTGCGATACACCTGGCCGGCAACAATACCAGCACAGTTTCCGATTGTCTGCTGGAGGCCAATCGCGAGAGCACGACGGTATTGTGGGGCAATATTCACGTTCAGCCAGGCGACGTTGAGACCGACAGACGTGTATGTGGTGATACCGATGAGGAAAGTGGCAAAGTATAGGACGGCGGTATTCTCTACCGTGAGAAGTAGGATGTAACCGACAACGCCGAAGATATTGGCTGCGAAAATGTACTGCGAGAGGTTAGGGAGGAACCGTGCATTGGAGATGGTAAGGGGCTAAACGCACGGATGCAAATTTGGAATATCGGTCTGAGCACCAAGCAATTGCGATAAAGACCATTGCAGCCCAGATATAGACTGGGACAGTCAAAACGTTGCTCATCAGGGAGTTATAGCCCATGCCTCCCAAGATAGTGGGCAGGAAAGTGCTGAACCCATACAAGAGAATATCCTGACAGAACTGGATGACACTGCTGAACATGAGCTTGGGATCTCTGATTGCGATGCGCATCTCTTCCCAGCTAAACTCTTCACTTCCCATGTACTTGCGACGCTGCTCGTTGCGTACCCGCATCATCCATTTCTCCTCTTCGGTGAGGAAGTAGGCTTCGGCCGGGTTGTTTGGTAGGCCGAACCAGATGAGAAGAGCACAGATGATGCTGAACAGGCCTTCAATGATATAGACCCATCTGAAAGATTGTAAGCAACATTGTCTTTTTGAGTGGGGTAATGAAAAGCGTACCTCCATCCTGCTTTGCCACCAATACCGTCCATCTGTAAGAGTCCATAGGCTAAGAGACCACCTACAGCCCCTGAGATGGCAGCACAACTCATCAGGTAGGAAACTCGCTTTGCTTGCTCCTCTCGACGATAGACCATGGTCAGGTAGAGATTGAGACAAGGGAACAGCCCAGCTTCGCAAGCACCCAAGATAAGACGAGTCGCGTAGAGAGAGCCTACCGACTCGATAAATCCGGTGAAGATGGTGGTCAGGGACCAAATGATGCAGAGCCCCGTCAAGATGTTGCGAGGTGTCAACTTCTTCATCATGACCGCCCATGGTGCTTCGAAAAGAACATATGTCACATAGAAGATGGAGACAGCGGTCGAAAACTGATCTGGTGAAGCATTGATATCCTCGGGCATATTGGCAACCTTGACATTTCCTGAAGTCTGTGAGCTTTGTGCTCTTTTCCACGGAGATTCAACAAAACTCACCGATACTCGATCTGTCCAGGAAACAAGTGAGATAGGTCAACATGATTATGGGCACAAAGGCGGCATCTAGTTTGGCGAGTAGTTTTGCCTCTTTCTTTGGATCCAGCACCACATCCAAAGACTCGCCGGCGACAGCATAGTTTGCTTCTTCAGCATCCTCTTTTTTCAAGGAATCCTTGAGCTCCAAGGGGGTATCGTGAACTGTATCGTGTGACATGACTGCTAAGGGGTTGCAGCAAAATCGAGATTTGATTAAAAGAACTAATTGATCATTTAAAGAATGTTTCGATCATAACATAGTGGATCATAGTGAAATGCCCAGGTCGCCTATCTTCGGCCACGCGATACAAGCCAAGTGTGAGTGGGTCTATCGGGCCGATGACGGTGATAAGGGACGGAAGTTGAGAAGTTGAAGGGGCGCGAAAAAAGGACAAAAAAGGGTCAAAGCAGGTGAAAAAGGGCCAATAAGAGAGGGATTAAGGGGATATCCACCACTGATGCAAGTCCAATCCGATGATCCGAACAGATCCTAACCGGAAGAGGCAAGTCGATAGACGGATATTGAGGCGCAGGAGACCACCTGGGCATGATTAGGGCTTTTATTATCTGCGTATTATCTGGGCATTATCTCTACGTGGGGTTTTCCCCAACCTTTTCCCCAGACCCATCGGTATGTGGATCCCGACAGATAACCGAGGCTATCTTATGTATTGTCAAGAAAATGTGCAAAATATTGATATAGATTAATAGATTAATAGATTAATAGATGTTAATATATTAATATGATAGGAATATAATCACCATGATTGATGCCTTTCTTAAAAAAAAAAGAATATGGACAATATCATCGCCCAGGAGGCACGACTGCGCTGTCGCTACAATCAACTCACCAATACCGCGGGTGTTGCACCGGGATATTTACAGGCAAATCTTTTGGTACTTCCGTCAAAATATGCTGCGGATTTCCATGATTTGTGTTTGCGCAACCCAGTTCCTTGTCCCCTACTGGGAATGACCGCTGCTCCTGGGGACCCAAGTACCGTTCGACCGGCAGAGTGTATTCGGTCTGAAGATTTTGATATTCGGACGGATTTCCCCAAATATCGAGTATATTCAGACGGGAAGTGCATTGAGAGTCGTCGTGACTTGTCCGATGTATGGACTAAGGATCATGTGGGCTTTTTGATCGGGTGCTCCTTCTCATTTGAGGATGCCCTGACGGCGGCAGGGTTGCCACCGCGGCACCAAAAGACTGGAACAATAGTGTCAATGTACCGATCGAACATTCCCTTATTACCCGCCGGAATATTCACTGGCGGCCACTGTATTGTATCCATGCGACCGTATCGTCCGGAGCACATCGAAAGAGTGAGGGAGATCACTCGGGCCTATCTGTCGACGCATGGAGAGCCTGTCGCCTGGGGATGGGATGGTGCAAAACAACTGGGAATTCTTGATGTGGCAAAGCCAGACTTTGGAGAGCCACAAAGATTCGACGAGGGCGAAGTTCCTGTGTTCTGGGTAAGTTCTACACAAGGCACATAATTACCTTGATGTTTTGATCTGACTTCATCTTAGGCCTGTGGAGTTACACCTCAAATTGCTGTTGAAGCAGCAAGTAATAAAATTGAAGGCCTGGTCTTTGCCCATGAGCCCGGCCACATGCTAGTCACGGATTGGACAGCAGAAGATCTGCAGAAACTCAAGCCTGGAAGAATTTAGAAGGAAAAGAAATCAACATCAATCCACATTCTGACATTATCAACTTGATGATACCTCTTGTGACCCTACACAGCATCAACTTCAAAGTCTCCAAACTCCACCGCGATATCATCCCCAATGGCAAAAATCCCAATGACCGGGCCAGTGAAGTCGTAATCCGTCAGGAGGGCGGTATCAACTGTCGCCAAATCACGCCAATCTGCTTCATCTACCCGGAAGAAGAATTGCAGGGAAGTCTCAGTGTAGCTAATTCTGAAAGACATGAAATCTTGGAATTCCACACTTCGGGTCTCACTTTGCGAGAATGACTTCGCTTGATTCAGTCCGTTGAAAATGACTTGCTGCATGTGGAAGTTGTATTCAATTGTTAAGAATCGGTGCTCGTCTTTGTAGAGAGCCAATCCTGCTCGAACCGATGTGGAAGGCTGTGGCTTGTACACAGTGACAGTGGCGGTGCCTTCAAGTCTTCGTTGTCGCTGGCCAACAAAAGTAATTGACTCATCCGGGCTGGTAAACTCCACTGGGTCTGCCTGTAGTTTGATGTGCCTGTCCTGGATATGGTATCGATCTAGTTTGGCATCTCTCAAGTAGACCCAAGGGGCAGCAGCAAGTGAGTCTTGACACTCCTTGAAGTTTACCCCCAAATTCCCATCGCATGTGATAGACTCAATCGTGGGCCACCCGTCGTAAGGCCAATCAACCGCTGTCAAGAATGTCTCCCGTCCCATGATAGATCGTCCCTCTTTGATGCGAATCCCCAGCATGACCACCCACCATTGCCCGTTTTGATCTTGGAAAAGATCGCCGTGTCCAGTGTTTTGGACATATCGAGTGGTGCCGCTAGCTGTGTACAACGGGTTCATGTTATAGGACTCATATGGACCCCATATGTTCCTTGATCGCGCCATGCTCAGCTTGTGGTATCGAAATGTGCCCCCTTCAGCACATAAAAGGTAGTACCATCCATCCTTTTTGTATATATGTGGTCCCTCTGTATATCCTTTCTTCCATCCCTTCCAGATGAGAGTGGGCTCTACAATCATAGTCCCAGTTGTGATATCAACTTCGATGTTGTAGATCTGGAACTCAGGCCCCGTTTTGCACAATTGGACATACACCCGGCCATCGTCGTCAAACAGCAGAGACGGGTCAATCCCAGGAAATCCGAATACTACTGGGTCCGACCAAATCCCCGAGCGAATATCAGTTGTGTGAATGATAAATTGTTCATTTCGCTCATCGCCTAGTAGATTGGAAGGGCCGTGGATGACGTTGGTACAGATGATGTAGGTGATGCCGTTGTGGTGCCGAATTGTGGGCGCGTACAGGCCGCCAGTTCCAACCATTGCTGTGCCATCGTCCCACGGGGCAATAAATGTGGTCGCTCGGGCTAGTGACAGTTGGGATGGTCTGTTTATGGCATTTCCTAAAACATGTCAGCCCTCCCACTAGGTCGACTCGGAGAAAAACTTCTTACCAATATGTTTCCATGAGACCAGGTCATTTGACATATAAATGGGCAGCCCCGGATAGAGATGGAAGCTCGAGTTCACCAGATAGAATGTGCCATCGATCAGGCAGATGGAAGGATCGGGAGCAAATCCTGGGATAATGGGGTTATGGTGAGCAACAGCCATGTTGAGTGATATCTTTACTTTTTTCTTTGTTCCTCCGGGGTTGTTTGAGAAGACAGGAATTGTTCACATCGCCTGGATTTATGTGGCGCCAGAATTCAACCGGTTTGGACACGGCGTTGTCACCCACCGACATCAACAAAGAATGTCCAACACTCACCCCGCATTTGATCTTCCTATTAGCCTGAATGAAAGATGAGAAGTTGAGTTGCAACATGGCTCTGTGCTTTTTTTTTACTCCAGGTTTTTTTTCCCCAAAATGAAGGGATTCATTCGACCGGTTATATTAAACCAAGCTACCATCGTGCTATACATGTGGTGTATCGGACTATATATATTCTGGACCCCTCCTCTTCTTAGAACAAACAACTTTTATTTTAATTTTTGAATGAGGTTAACCCAATATGAGTGAAGCATATGAGACGGTTAAACCTCCCAAGGGGCACTTCTACTTAGCAGGGCGACTATTACCTCGTGTGAAATGGTGGAAACAACGGAACATGCGAGTCCTGTACTTCTACATTTTAGTTCTAATTGCGACCAACACGGCGAATGGATTTGATAACTCGATGATGTGAGTTTTCGTCAGCCTGTTTATCCTTCTCTTTCTCATTGGTATTAGGAATGGTTTGCAGGCACTGTCCTACTGGCAAGACTATTTCGACCACCCCAAAGGTCCAACACTCGGTTTATTCAACTGCGTTATGAGTGTTGGTGCGCTGGCCGGTTTAGTCATTTTGCCTTATATGCTTGATCGTCTGGGCCGTAGGATTTGCTTGGTCTTTGGGTCTTTTTTCATGTTATTTGGCGTGGCTCTGCAGTCGGGTTCTACCAACTTCTCCATGTTCGTTGGCGCTCGATTTATTCTCGGGTTTGGAGACATCATCGTCATTTGCACAGCCCCACTACTTATTACAGAGATTGCTCCTGCCCAAGACAGGGCAATTCTGGTCACTATATCGGGAGCTACATATCACTCGGGGGCGTTTATCGCGGCATGGACGACATATGGAACGCTGAAGATCAAAGTAAGTGGTCTAGGTCAAGATCCCCAGGCCTATCAGCAGACCACCCGCCTCTTCATCAAACACCTTTTTTCCCTTGTACCAAGTTTGGCACACCCGAGCTTCTAAAAGGAATTCCGGGGCCCAGATCATATCTAGCACAACAAAATTGGCGTTGAATCCTGGACGCAGACTCCCTGTCCACGAGTCTGAAAAAGACGCATATGCAGCCCCTGCAGTAGCTGCGGAGACAGCGGTCGCGAGGGAAACAGCGAATTCGGGATTGATGATATCTTGCAAGGAGGGATCAATAGATGACCGCCGAGTAGTAGCAACATAAAGATTGGGTAGTGCCTGATGCTCCGCAGTGGGGGCATCGGTCCCAAAGACCAAATGAGCACCGCCATCAACGAACTCTTGGTAGGCGAAAGCCCGCTTGCAACGGTGAATCCCTAGCATCTCTGGCCATCCATCGAACGTCGCTGGGTCTATGTGAACGGGCTGGACTGATGCCACTATTCCGAGTTGGCCAAGCCTTTTCGCGTCTTCGGGGGTTGTTATCTCCAAATGTTCAATGCGATGACGACAGGATGGCAGGTCCTGAATTTGGGATAAGCAGTCAATAGCCTGATGCACTGCTCGATCCCCTATTGCGTGAATGGCGCACTGCAGGCCGGCATCAGTAGCACGGCGAATCGCTGCAGCAAGGGTATCTGCAGGCCAGATGGGATCGACGATGTTGGACAATCCGCCATACGGTTGGTGTAGTGCTGCTGTACACCCATCCACTGTGCCGTCACAGAGTAGCTTAATCCCATTGATACAAAACTCCGGGGAGGTTTTGCGGTTGAAAGTTTGTTGAATCTCAATGGCGCGATCAATATGACCGCAGATGTCGGCAGCGCATTTTGAGTAGGGTATCAACCAGTGTGCTGCCATATGCACCGGAAGCTCACCACGTTGATTCCTGTAGATATTTAACGCCGCCCACTCAGTCTCTCCCATAGCCATATCCACGAGTCCAGTATACCCAGCACGTTGATGCGCACCGATAGCAGCATCAATCGCGGCCACCTTCTTCTCCATGGACGTGACTCGGTCCAAAAATGGCCAGACAATGTCGAACTGCGCTGCCTCTTCGAGTAAACCAGACGGAAGGCCACTGTGGCAGCGGTAAATCTTTCCTCCTGGAGGATCGGGTTTCGAGTCAGCCTCTAGCTCTTTGAGACCTGCAGTATTGCACCACGTTGAGTGGAGGTCCAACGCCTCGATATAGATAGGTCGCGGATCTAGGTCGTCCAACACTGTTGCAAGAGCGTTGCCATCCGTAACCGACTGGATCCAGCCTCGGCACAGAATGCGTGGATCCGATGGGTGAGTTGCTGCATAGGAAGTGATGGAATTTCGGATATCGGCGAGGTTCTTGCAAAGTAGAAGGTCGAGTTTCTGCAGCGACATACCGAAATTGAGGATGTGCACATGGCCGTCAATGAAACCTGGGAGGACTATTCGATTCTTCAGGTCCACAGTTGATGCTGTCGCTTGTACCCGAACAACCGCTTCGTCATTGTCCCAGCCGACGTGCGCGACATGGTCATCCTCGACTACCAGCGTAGAGACAAAGCCACCCCATGAATCGGGACTGAGGATACGGCCATTGGTAAAGACTGTTGTAACCATGCTTATGTGATCATTGGGGGTGAAGCAAAGGTAGCAAGGGTAGTTGACTCCTTGAAGGTGAGGGAGACGTCAAAGTTGAAGTTGAGGTTGGGTTGGTAGAGCTGATGTGCTGAAAAAGTAAGTTAAGAGGAGGGTGAGATAGTAAAAAGCAAAAGCAGCGATGTAATTGTTTGCTTGAAGGTCAGGGATATGTTAAAGTTGAAGTTGAAGTTGAGGTTGGTGCAGCGGATGTGATGGAAAAGCAACGTACATAAGTAGAGACGATGCTATTGGCTGTTTTCCCTTGATACCGTATGAGATTGAGAAATGGTGTAACGCTAAAACATGAAAAGAAGAATCAAATTAAATGTTTGTTCTGGACTTCGTTTTCTTTTATCAATATATCTCCTTTTCACTCTCATTGCTTGTTTTCTGTTGTTTCGGATGGCTTTGTTGATTATAGAAACTCAGACATTCCATCACTCCATGTTGCGACTTGTCTTTGAGGACAATAACTTAGATTTTCATTATTGGAAATGATACTTAGAGTTCTAGCGCCGGTTCTATCTCTACTTGACAACGGCGTGGACGTTTCAGGCCAAGATCGTACAATCAACTTTCTTTGTATTAGCAGAAATGCCCAACAGATATTGTCCATAATGAAAGGATAGGATTATAGGGGCTATTGATTTTATACACAAGGCTCCCCGGGGCTGTAATAATTCTCGCAAGAATACTCTTATAACTGCCAGGCCCGGGCATTGTAGTATCTCATGTTCAAAGTCGCGAGGTTGTTGATACAATCGAGAACAAATGTAACTTAGAGGTAAGTAAAATTGTTCGTGATAAGATAGACTCATGTTTTCTGACAATGGTATCAATGGTATATAGATGTGCCTGTTAGAAGTCCTTGATCATACAGGTCCCTATGGCTGTGGCCATTTTTGGATTCTCGACCTCGACAGATGTTTTACGGCTCAGTGTTTAGGGGAATTTTCTGGTTGTATTCACCCATTGAAGAAAAGAATTGCTCCTTATTCCAAGGAATGGCGGAAATATGTCAATTACTTTCGACCAGGGTATGCAAGGATTCCAAGTCTTTGCAAAGGATGTCAAGATGGAAATGGTGATTGGGAAGGTCCTTATTGAAGTTCCTATATACGCTCATCCCTCGCGGAGTAAATATTTATTAGTGGATTGAGAGGGTTGGGTGGATTCAGCCGGGACTAGACTTCTTCTGTTGATCATTTGCTGTTATATCTCGACCTTTGCCTTAATGCCCAGGTTGGTTCACATCATGGCCTTCTGGCCAGCCACCAACAATGACAGTATGACACTGGGTATCTGAGATACACGGCTGGTGTTTGAGGTTATCTTAACCTCCCCAGCTATGTTGAGCGATTCTAATCCAAGTACATACCTTCATAAGTACATATGTATGCACTGTCGAGCCGAAACTTCCCGTCTTCCAACTCGGCTGATAACATCTCAAGAAACCTGGGATACTGAAAGAATATCTTGTACAGTCGAGGTTTTATTTGTGTACTATACTACATATCTATATACATATTCACTGTCCTTAACTGAGCCCTTGCGAACAGTGGAATGAATTCCCGAGGTCGCCGTTCGGCATTGTCTCCGACAAGTGGCGGGGACCCCCAGCACTCGCCCGAAATACGTCAATTTGTCAGCAGATGAATTATCCCAAGCGTATATATAAATGGGAATTTCTGCGTCTCTGAATCTCTTGAAAGGATCAATCGTTAATCTTTAGACGATAAACCCAAATGGGATCTACTTCGTTTCACTCCCCGCCAATTGACCAGGCCGAGGGCCTGCCATATTTTACCCCCGCCAACAATGCTGGAGCAGCTATAAACCAACAGGACTCCAAAACTCCGACGCTGTTCCGCCCGTTACGAATTCGAGATGTCACGCTCAAGAATCGCGTGATTGTGGCGCCTATGTGCATGTACTCCGCCGAATCAGACCCAACTTCTCCGGCTGTTGGCGCGCTCACGGATTTTCACATCGCGCACCTCGGTCATTTGGCCACAAAGGGTGCCGGTCTGATTTTCATCGAAGCAACAGCAGTTCAGCCCAATGGTCGCATTTCTCCCAATGATTCCGGCCTTTGGCAGGATGGAACAGACTCTGAACAGTTCAAAGGACTCCGCCGTGTGGTGGATTTCGCTCATAGTCAAGGGGCCAAAATTGGGATTCAGCTTGCTCACGCCGGCCGGAAGGCTAGCACGGTGACGCCCTGGCTCGCATCCCAAGCCAAGCAACGCGGCATCAAAGCTGATGAAAGTGTTGGTGGCTGGCCATCAAATGTGGTTGGCCCCTCTGGTGGGGAAGAGCAAATTTGGGCACCTGGCGATCATTTCTGGCCCCCTCGCGAGCTTGAAACGGCCGAGGTTGAGGAACTTGTTCAGGCGTTTGCACGAAGTGCAGGGCTCGCTGCACAAGCAGGAGTGGATGTAATTGAGATCCATGGCGCCCACGGATACCTGCTTCATCAATTCCTTAGCCCCGTTACCAATCGACGAACCGATAAATATGGTGGCAGCTTTGAGAACCGAAGTCGGTTCTTATGCGAGGTGGCTGCTGCAATCCGTGCTGTTGTGCCTAGTGGAATGCCCCTGTTTCTTCGTATCAGTGCGACAGATTGGCTTGAGAATCAAACTGTCGCAGCAGAAACTGGAAGCTGGGACATGCAATCCTCAATTCAACTTGCCAAATTGTTACCAGACCTAGGGATTGACTTCCTGGATGTCAGCTCAGGCGGTAATCACAAAAGCCAACGGATTCAGCCTCATACAAACTATCAGATTGCCCTCGCTGGTCAAATTCGTCAAGAAATTCACGCCGCCAACCACACGACGCTGGTTGGAGCTGTTGGCTTTATTACCGAGGCCGAGTCCGCTCGAGATATTGTTCAGGGTGCAGAAGAAGAGGCACAGCCGACCGAGGCAATACTGTCTGGTCCAAAGCCTCAGGCTGATGCCGTGTTAATGGCCCGTCAATTTCTGCGCGAGCCCGAATGGGTGCTCACGGCGGCCAAGAAATTGGGTGTGAAGGTATCCCTCCCGTGGCAGTTTGAGCGAGGCTTACTGTAAAGTGGACACGCATATTATTCATAGATTAGGCTTCCTGATTGCAACCATTTGATTTCCCTGTCCCGAGTCCTAGTACAGACTGTAGTATGGAGTACAACGTAGCCATAATCTGCAGCGCAAGACTGAGAAAAGGGGGGAAAGACCTTCGACGATCATTTCCATATTGGAATTCCACTCTCACCTTTCACGCAGCCTTTTGTTTCAACTTTCTACGCGAGGGGCCCAGGTGACTTGTCGCATATGAATCTGGGGCGAATGGTATACTCGTTATCAACCACAACTCCCGCACTTCCCGCGCTGTCCAGTTACAAGCCAATTATTGATCAACGTGCAACGCCAAGCACCGGGCCAAGACTCGGGAGCCGATGTTACAATGCATTTGGAGATAAATCGGTACTGGATTAGCATTGTTTATGCGGGGTCTTTCGGCTTGATCCAGCAGATAAAGCCGGAGTATAAAACCGACGGTTCCAACTTGGAGATACTCTGTATTTATCCTACATTCTTGACTGTAGCCTTGATCACTCAACACATTCAAGTTGGAATTCAAAGAGGTCAATAGGAAAAATATCGACATTTACCGAAGAAAACCACAATGGGCATCGCTCGCGCTGCCTGTGTTCTGGTCTTCGCCCTCCAGCCTTTCCTAGGCGGAGCGTTGCCTGCCCCATCACCACCTGGAATTCCGTCTACCTCTACTGCAACGAGTGAGCTAGCAGGATTGACCGTTGCTGCACAGGGATCGCAGGATGGATATAGCCGTGACGAATTTCCGCACTGGATTACTATCAGCGGGTGAGTAGATGAGATCACTGTGATTCTGAAGTATTTGGCAGCTCAAATTGTTATCGACAGAAATTGCGACACACGCGAAACAGTCCTCAAACGGGATGGAACCAATGTGGTCCAAAGCTCCAGTTGCGGAGCTACCAGCGGATCTTGGGTTTCTCCGTATGATGGTGCGACCTGGACAGCTGCAAGTGATGTAGACATTGATCACGTCGTTCCGTTATCAAATGCATGGAAGGTGAGCTCGGATCATCTGACAAAATTGACGGCTCGGGATATTAATGAATCTTGGCAGTCTGGCGCGTCCAGTTGGACCAAGGCAGATCGTCAAGCCTTCGCCAATGACCTCAAGAATCCCCAGCTTCTAGCGGTCACCGACAACGTGAACTCCTCCAAGGGCGACAAAGGCCCAGAATCGTGGAAGCCTCCTTTGGGTACGTCCTAAACTGTTTGTACTGTCTAGTCTACAAATTACTAACATCAAGACAGCTTCATATTACTGCACTTATGCCAAGATGTGGGTGAAGGTGAAATCGGTCTATGATCTTACCGTCACTTCGGACGAGAAGGCTGCTCTTGTTGAGATGTTAGCTACTTGTTGAAATGTGGAGCACATTTAGTGAAAATGAACATGTGACAGAAGATTGGAGAATAAATCGCAATATAATAAGTTTTAAACCTGTGGTAAACAACGTCCATTTAACGGATTTGACAACTAACCGCCTTTGCTAAACGCGTCGCGCACAGCACAGTTGATGGCTTCCTGGATCCCCAATATGCAAGTGAGTATTTTGAACGAAAGCACAGCATCCTTAGAGATTACAGTGCTCCCGAGCTCACTAATATCACAGGTAGGATTCTGGCGGACTGACCTCCTAATACGATGGGCTGGAGAATGGGCCCCACTGAAGTGGAAGAAGCGTTTTAGCTGGAGATCCACACTTGAACCAATATTTAAGGGAACTGTTGGGAGAGTATTAGATTATAATGCAATGATATTGGTTATTTTATTGAACTAAGAGAAAGGGAAAGAGACAGAAGCTAGTTAGTTACATAACTAGTCATCCATGTGCGATGTCCTGTGTGTGGCCTGAACTCCAAGGCGCAAATACCATGACACCTGGTAACTAACTGACTAACTAGTGACGTGTTGACAGAGCTTGGCGTGAGATCCATTACCCCCCTGCTGCCCTGCTGCCGACCGGTTGGAAGAAAATATGTCGAATCGCCCTTGGAAGTATGATTCGATGCTCTGACACACAGAAACGATCATTTCTCCACCTTTACTAATCTCTTCACCGACAGGGCTGTGGGTATAAAGATATCCCAAGTGGAGTCATTTTCAGCCAAGCATTTGCCAGTGATGCTTCTTTTCGGCACGAACCACAAACCGGATTTTGTGGCAAGCCCTTAGGGGTCGAATATTATGGATAAAATCACTTCTGCGTGGGATCGCGTGGGATCGAGGGCTCTGATATCTCGCCTCACCCATCCCCAGTCTTTTGTGTCTCGCTTAAAAGCTGTTCTTGATCACATTGACCGAGGTCCCTTGCCCGAATATTTCTGCTCTCATTATTATCTAGCATAATGACCTCCCCGGGGCAGAAAACAACCGATGAGCTCCATGATTTGGAGAAAATCACTGATACCTTTCCCCAAAACCGGACATTGCTTTTATCAGAGGAACAAGCCCTGGCAAGAGCACGGAGCAATCCCAACGACGCGCTACCGATTCTGATAAAATATGCTGTCAATGACCCAGACAACCCCCGCAACTGGCCAAAATGGCGCAAATGGTATATCACCTGCGTGGTGAGCATGCTCAATGTCTTTACGTACGTACACGTGCCATTCTCTCCCAGTCGAGGTTTATCTAACCCGTCTTATACAGTACGTGGTGTGCAGGGGGCATTTCCTCGGGTGCTGCCGGAATACAAGAAGAGTTTGGGGTATCGGCTGAGATCACGACTTTATGCTTGTCTCTATATGTTCTTGGATACGCAATCGGCCCTGTCCTTCTCGCTCCACTCTCGGAATACTTTGGGCGTCAGCCGGTTTACGTCGTATCGTGGTTCTGTTTGTTCATTTTTCAGCTTCCTCTGGCCATGGCCCCAAACATTGGTACTATTCTGGCGTGTCGCTTCATTGCAGGCTGTGCCGGAGGTGCGCCCCTGACAAACACCGGAGGTAGCATCAGTGACCTCTGGGAACGGAACGAGAGCGGAGGGCCCATGGCCGTCTACGGGCTGAGTAGTACGTTTGGCCCTCCTATGGCGCTGGTGGTCACCGGTTATATTGGACTCAATCTCGGCTGGCGGTGGATATTCTGGGTTTTAATGGCTATGACGGGCGGCGTCTGGGTCTTGTTGATAACCACAATTCCCGAGACGCGACACACCACAGTGCTTGAAAATAAGACCAAGCGCGCGTGCAAGCAGATGAAGAAGGAGAATCTTCAATCTGCAGAATCTACCACTGACATGCATGCGAATGGCAGAAAGGGGTTGCACGAACTATTCGCTATTACCCTCACGCGCCCATTTCGTTTCCTTTTTTCTGAGCCCATCACGTTGTTCTCGGCAATCTACAATGGCTTTCTATACGGATTGGTGTATCTTTTCAACGAGGCAATCCCTCTAGTTTTCGGCGCCCCGAAGGGACACCCATTCAATACCGGTCAACAGGGACTCGCCTTCTTGGGAATGGCGATTGGACCGTTGATTGCATTCTGTTTTTACCCACTTCAAGAACGATACTATCTGCGCCGTGTTGCCGAGAACGGCGGCAAAGGTGTCCCAGAGGCGCGGATGTGGATGGCCCGTGGGGGTGCGATCCTAATTCCTATCAGTCTATTCTGGTTTGGGTGGACAAGCTATCGGTCGGTCCATTGGGTTGTCCCAATCATCGCCTCGTCATTCTTTGGCGCTGGGATTTATATTGTGATCCTGAGCATTTTGAACTACGTTGTGGATAGTTATCAAACGTACTCAGCTTCCGCTCTTGCCGGTGTCATCCTGGTACGCAATGTTGTCGGTGCCGGATTCCCATTGTTCGCCACCCAGATGTATGAGAAACTGGACTATGAATGGGCCTCCTGTCTTTTGGGATTCATCTCCATTCTTCTTGTGCCGATTCCATTCATTTTCTTCTACGGGGGAAGAGCCATTCGCCTACGCAGCCCGTGGGCGAGGGAGCACTTTGAACAAAACGACGACAGCCCACATTAACAATTTTCAAGGATACTCTCACCCTTTTGGTTAATTTGAAAGCAGAAAAATTAACACTGCATGTTAGGAGGTATATCAGATGATGTATGATGGCGTCCTGTTCAATAGCTTGTTAAATTCAGAATCCACCAAAAGTCTGATTTGCAAATATCCGTCGATGCTGAATGCGACTACAATCGTTGTCTTGCCCATTCATACTCAGTTTATGCCCAACAAGATGGAGCTGTGTCTTTTCTTACATCGACACTGGCTAAATTAATTGTGACGCCCATTCTTTGGATCGGTCGGTTTCCAGTTCCGCATACACTATTCAATTCGACTATACACCTCTGCGTCTGATATGATGGTATCTCAAGATATATGGTACCTTCATAAATATGTCATAGCTGGACCCATTTATAGCCAAGGACTGGGATTTCGAAGACAGGAGCTGTACAAGTGGCGTTGAAGAAGGCGTCGTGTGTGCAGCCCAGCTCGAAGTCTGTGCTTCCGTAATAGGTGATGCTGCTCCCATTCTCACACTTAATTGCATGTCCATCGCCGAGAGTATAATCCATATGCCCCGTTGAACTTTCTAGGTTGGTGGTTCCGTAGAATGCAACAATACGCCCAGCACCGCGATCGGCATATCCGCAGTTGCTCTCGCCATGGCCCATATCATGAATGCGGTATCCAATGTATTGATCGTGGCAAGCAAGGCCATCCTCGAAGTTGATAGCGAGTGTTTCCAGCGGACCATAACCCCATGGCTCATAGTTCGGCATTCCAGTCCAGCACACGTTGACCATAGTCCCATTGCACGTCGCGGGATCGGGCTCACACCACCCATTTCCACAGAGACACCCCCTGGCATCGATATCGGCTTTGTTATGGATACAATCAAGACTGTGAGAGCCGTTGTACCATTGAAAACTGTTGACTCGCCATATGGGAATAGGACATCCATCGGGTGGGGTGATGGAGCGAGGTTGGAGTTGGGATGCTGATGCGCATACTAAAAGTGCAAGAAGACCGAGAAAAACACGGGTTGCCATTTTTGCAGTCTGAATAGGACGAGGAGATGACTTGAAAGCAAAAATAAGTGGAGTTTAAATGAAAATCTCACAAGTTATATGGGCTTTAGGTATATATATATTATTCTGCGGGCTTAGGGCTTAGGAAATGTAGAACAAAGATTGTAACCTTATAGTCGCTCTGTGGGGCCATTATCTGCATGTAAGCTCGCTAAACATACTAGATAGTGTCTCTATAAAACAAGACCAATTGAGTTGAGTAAACATAGTACGTTTTGAGACATATAGCTGAACATGTTCCACATTAAAATCTCATTTATAGAAATTATACCCGACTGCAGACGAAATTAAATGTTTAGTATAGAAAGTCCTGGAATTCCCCCCAATCCCCCCCCCCCCCCCCACCCCCAAAAAAACGTAATCTCCCGGGGATTTTCGCTCTAAACATTTACAGAGTAAGTATAGTAACAACCGTGGGATGTCCCCTAGCAAAATTAAATTGCCATAGAATGTCCATTTTGGACAAATCCTGATTTTTTTCTGGGAGTAAAGCAGGATAGAATCCATCCATGCCATTGTACATCCAGCCACGGGAGGACAATTTAGTTAATAGTGCTGGGCTGTCCCTGTGTCGATAACTGAATCAGAAGAACCGGAGTTAGAGACACCACTGCAATGATACCACACATAACACTAACAGCGCCACTTAGTCCGAGTTGGCATACATATCAGGGAAATAAAATGGACCGCACTGAAGAGGGATTCTACTTAGCATTCATGTTAAACCGAAACCGAACCTTTTTGTTGGATACTCATAAATCCATAGATCAGGCGACAGAGGTTAATGCGAACACCGATGCTGGTAGAGTGTTCCTTGGGCTATCGACCGCGAAGGATATAAGGATGGTAGTGACCACTAGGCCTTGACAAGTCCCGCAGCACCTGGGCAATTTTGGTGCTGCGATATGGTGCTACGAGGTGCTGCGGGACTAAGCCGATTTTAGTGCTATTGTATAGTGCTACGGCACTAAGTGCTACACTAGTATAATTCTACTAAAGGTTACCTAAAATGGATGGATGGATGCTGACTTATTTTAATAAATTACTGGTAATATTATTCGATTTACTTCTTATTTATACTATTTACTATATATATATAATCTACCGTTTTTTATAGCTTGAATGGCATTGTAGTTTGAAAACATTAAGTTGCTATGGAGATGCAAATTTTAGGGGCCGTGATCACGTTACTGAGCTGGTGATTTTGACTAAGCTGGGGCGAACAGACCCGGTGGGTTGGTGGTCTTGGCATGGCTAATACGGAGTAGCATTTTCGAGGTTTCAGCCCACATGGACATTACTTGCATTTTTAAACCTTTCCACATCTTGAAGTCATGGGCTTTCCACTACCACCGGAGTTGATACAGATTGTGTTGGAGTTCATTATTGCCGATGAGAACGCCAACGTGCCCCCATATGTCACTCAGAGTACCAATTTGGCCCCATATGCCACTGTCAACCGCGACTGGCAGGCAATCATCGAGAGCCAAACCTTTTCAAGTATCAAGATCGACACAAACAAGCGACTAGCAGAGTTCAAACAGTTGCCATGGGACCAGTTATCGTGGAGCCAAAGAAGAAGCCATATACGGAAAATCCATTTTATCGTGGAGCTGGAGTCGTATGATGGCGAGGCTCGCACACGGTACGAAAATGAAGAGGAGATACAGCGAAACAGCAAAGCTTTTACTACTTCAATTCAGTCACTATTCAATGCTCTATCCGAATGGTCGGACAACGAAGCGGGCATCAGTCTTTCGATTATGGCGCAGTCCCCCGGCGATATTAGCGCCCAAGGCCCCGAGGCAATGAAGCAGCGCGGGTGGGGAAAATCACATCTCTTAACTGATGACATCGGGCACAAGCGATATGACAGATCGTATCTCCAATTCAACGAGGAAGCCGTCGGTGCTCAATGCCGAGCTGTCCCTATAATCACCAGACTTGATATTATAGGGGCGATGGGTCATAGGAAACTCGAGCCAGCCTCCAGTTCTCTTATCGCGTCGAAGTTGCCTCGACTGCACGATCTGTACCTTACCTTGGATGATAATTGCAAATGGGATTCCCAATTAAGAGAACGTCGGCGGAATGGTATGTCAGACACAGATTCTAGGATGATGCTCGAATAAGTGGATATATACTAATAATTCATATAGAATTTGCGGACTCTAGTCAGTTTTTGCCTCTTACTATACGCGTTCTCAGCTTTGGTTTCGCCTATATAACCCCAGAAGATGAAAATTATCCTCCAGCGGCTTCAACGGTAGAAGGAAACACGGATCCTCTAAGCTCGCGTTTACGAGAATTTTCCCAACAATTGACAGTGATGGGTGGGAACCAATGTGTCTTAGGAAAAGAACTTTTCTGGCCGTTGAATGGTGATAATCCTGAACCTCCCCTTTGGCCACATCTAACTAATGTGGGCGTAGATTATATACCTATCACGCCATGTGGGAAATGGATGTTTGAACAGGACAACGACGCCGAGGAGCCCGATTATGATTCAGATGGTCTTGGCTCCTACTATGATGATATGGATGACACCGATCTGGATTGGGTTCCTCCAGAGGACCGCAAGTGCAGACTATTCCGAACCAAATTCGTACACGAATTGTTCAATCAATATTATTTATCAGCTGGCAAGGCTGCTCTTCGGATGCCTAAACTAGATTCCATGTTATTGGACGTTTCGCACCGACCTCAACACCGGTTTTGGTATCAGGTGGAGAACGAAATGGCGAAAGTGACCTGGTCTAGTGAGGATGACCCTAAAGCATTTGAACCAAGCGAAGAGGTCTTGCAAATTTGGAATCAAGTTGCTTTGGAACACACCGGTAATGGCTTAGAGGTTGAATTCCAATTATATTAAGGGAGGAAATTGAGAGAGAAGCCAGAGCAGAAATAAGCATGTATTCGTGCTGAATCTGATATAATATGTCTTATATAACTACTATTATATACTAATATAAATATATAGCGAAGCCGGAGCGGAAGCCGCCTATCCCATGGGAGGCGGCGGTGCTGCGGGGCTTGTCAAGGCCTACTACTATAGTTAGCTAGGTGGTCCTTAGTATACGGGATAGGTCCACTTCGGCTACCTTACTAACTAACCGGCCCCTCTTTTTTTTTACCAAAAATACGGACCCTCGCAAGCGAGGGTCCTTCACCCACATGAACAGGATCATCTAAATGAACAATTTTTTTAAATCCTACCACTTTCTCTTAAATTGTTAACCACCCCACCCACCATGCCTAAAGACAACAGAGATATAGAGGATCTGATTCTTAAAGCTATCGACTCTCTCTCTGAGCAATCTAAACCTAATATCTCGAAAACTGCACGAGAATTCGCGGTTCCAATTGGACGACTACGACGCCGGTGGTTAGGTGGAAAATCGCTTTTTCAGCGTCAACCCAACGGTCGGAAACTAAGTCCTGGACAGGAGAAGGTTCTATGTGAATATATCGATTACTTTGACTCCGTGGGAGCATCGATAAATCGTCGTCAAATTGCTATCGCAGCCAATTCAATTCTCGAGGATAACCATACCGATTCGGCCACAAAACCCCCCCAGATCGGCGACCAGTGGCTAAAACGTTTTATGAAACGGCATCCCGAGTACTATATACGACGCCGGCGAGCTCTTGACGTCGAGAGAGCTTCTGCACTTGATAAAACTGTGGTGGAAAGGTGGTTTCAAGACTATCAACGTGTGGTGACTGAGTATGGTATATGCCAATAAGATATCTACAATTTTGACGAAACTGGCTTTCAAATTGGCGTCGGACGAGATCAATTCATTATTACAAGAGAGCTAAAAAAGAAGCTATTCAATGGATCTGTCACCAATCGAGAATCTATCACTGTTTTAGAGGCTGTTTCTGCTGATGGTTTTACCTGTCCACCACTTATTATTTTAAGTGGAAAGTAGGCATTACTACGCTGGTTTGACACTATCAAAGAAGATGAGTATATAGCGGTAACTGATACCGGTTATATCAATGATCAATTGGCATATTAATGGATTCAGCTATTCCATAAGTGGACGATTAATCGTACGCTTGGTGGAAAACGGCTGGTGTTATGCGACCGTTTTGGCTCCCATTTAACACGCCAATTCATTGAATTTTGTGAGAAGAATAATATCATTTTATTCTTCTTACTCTCACATACCAGCCATATACTACAGCCTCTCGATGTAGGAGTGTTTAGCGTCTATAAACACTGGCATAGTGAGGCTGTTGAAGCGGCTATAATGACTGGATGCCGCAAATTCTCAAAGGATGAATTCCTACATTGTATCGCCGAAATCAGACGAAAAACCTTCCGGCCGCATACAATTAAGCTTGGATTTAAATTAACAGGCCTCTGGCCTATTAATTCTAAGCTTATTACTGATGAATTGGAGTCGTACGATCCATATCATGACAATTTACCCCGGCTGGATACCCCGTCAACTGGCTCTCAAAACACGGAATTCAGCACTCCAAAAACAGCTGAGAGAATTCGAAGGATTAGCTCTCGTCTTAGTCAGTACGATCCTACCACTCAGCGTTTTAAAGACGGGTTAGAAAAGCTTGCAAAGGGCGCTGAAGCGCAGGCTGTATTAGCTCTCCAGCTACAGCGGGAATTCGATCGTACCCAGGCTATTATGGGAGCGCGCCACGCCAGATATGACAATTCCCGCCGTCATATACAGATCACCGGTATCATATCTTCCACCCAGGTGAAAGCAATGAAGCGAAAGGAATACAAATTGGACGAAAAGGCGGATCAAGAAAAGACCAAGCGGAAGTGGAAGAAGGTGTTGATCGAAATCAGGAAGTATGGAAGAGCCAAAAAACGCCGGGGAGATTAAATTGTTTTTGTATTATAGTAGTAAAATGGCTAATTGATTTCTTTACTATTTTTAATTAATTAATTTACTACATGGTGGTATGTAAAAGTGAGGTTAAAGTGGAAGATTGAAAAAATTGATCATTTAGATGATCCTGTTCATATGGGTGAAGGACCCTCGCTATGCGAGGGTCTGTAATTTTGGTAAAAAATGTAAGGGCCGGTTATATCTTATACTTGATTTAACTACTATATAAGGTGTACCTAGGTAAAGGAGTTAAGGTTTAGTTACGATATATTTAACTATACCTCTAATAACCTCTAAAAGTTTGAAGTCTATTAGGTATAAGGGGCGACGTCAACCTAGGGGTGTGGAGCGTCTTCTTTAACCAACCAAATCTACCAAATACGTGTAAAGAAGGTATTATAAAGCCAACTCAGGCTCAATGGGCCGCCTCCTGTGGGATAGGGTGCGGGATACAGCCCTTTGCTGATGTGGCTACTCTATGTCTGCTCTGCAACATATTTATAAGAACCTTGTCCTGCTATTTTGTTTGCTTGTTCGGCAGTGCCTTCCAGTGGCACTATCCTATCCCCAAGAAGGGCAGCTATATGACCGTGATGGTTGATCTGGTTCGCCCTGTCTCCGATCCGGGTGAAGTCATGCTAAACAGAGCGGATCCCCCCGCAACAAGCGAATATAGCCTGGATTATTTCAACGATAACCTTGATATCATCGCTATTCGGGAGGGTATTAGGTACAGCTATGATGTATTGAAGCACGGCGATGGTTTCAAGATATTATATCGGATGAATATCCTGTGAAATGCCACTGGATGACAATGAGTTGATGAAAAGAACTGTGTTGGTTCGCAGACCTTATTCCACCCATGTGGTACATTGGCCTATCTTTAAACACATGGAGTTTACTTTCTAGCCAGGAACTAAAGCGAATATTTGCGCCTTTATGTCTCTTCATGCCATAGTAGCTAGACTCAGTTCAAACAGTATTCAAGGCCAAAAGAAGCACACTGTCTCTTCGCATATTCTCCCATCAAGCTTTCATAGAAGACATCAGGCTCATCTTCTTACCACGTCCCAAAAAAGACGGAAAGAGCGCATTGTGCACAACCCACCCCTCCCGGTCCTGGACTGCCCCGTACTCATTCCAAAACTCATCCTCCATGTCCGAAACCAGAACCTTCAATCTGGCATCAAGATGCAGAAGCCGTTTCGCAAACTGATTCGCGACAGGGATGAACCGCTCCAGGACAGCCTGTTCGTCATCTTCCGTTGGAGTGCGAAACCCCACCTGGAGTTCGCGGAGCAATTGGTACAAGCCATTAACTGCAGTAACCTCTTTCACGTAGGCTTCTAGCAACTCAATCACTGCCTCTAGCGACGCGACGGATATTCCCTCGAACAACTTTAAGCTCTTGAGTCCATTCTTCTGCAGAGCTAACCCTAGAGGGTTTAAGAAACGGCTTTCCGCCCCGGTATATCTTCTTGGGTTGTTCCCGTGACGATCATTGAATTCTTGTTCGGACTTGTCCACATAAGAAGACATTCCTGCGCCGATAAAGAGCTCGGCTAATCTAGTGACATGATCTCGACCGTGCTCGTCATGGATTTGATAGATGCCAAGCCAGGCTATGCGATATAGGGAGAATATCTTGGCTTGCAGGTTCTTCTTCTTGATATCGATATTGTCGGATGCTGATGGGATTCTTTTTAGACTTGACGAAGAGTTAACGCTATTTCTAGAGCTCTTGTTAGGGTCATGCTTGATGGAGAGAAAATCAAACATTTTGACAAGGAACTAGAAGGCTGTTTTTGAAGGAAAAAATTATATTACTTTGATCTGGAATCAATGGTGGTATAATGGGAAAGATCTTGTTTAAAAATGGGGTGAGAAGGGGTCTCATACCCCTTTTAAGTAGAGTTGCTGATGCTATGGTTGCTTGTCGCTAACTACTTCTGGACTAAGCCGAAAACTCTTAAGCGAGCCCGCTCACAGACGTCTCGCTGAAAAGGCAGATTTCTTCGTTCAATGTTGGGTGGCCATGCTAACGGCGACAAGGCTGCTAATTATCTCTCATGGCATTGGCTAAGTCTCATGCCCGAGTGGAGCAGCGAAGGAGGCGAAGGCAGACTCCGAGTTGTGGCCTGGAGGTAGTTACAGGGGTAAGTAGCATGCTCTAAGATGTGTCACTTTGGGTTTAGCGCTATTTTGCCTCACGTGTCTAAATCAGTGAAGTTGGTTTACTATCACAGCACAGCCTCCTGTGCGGCTCCTCTTTCTGGCCTTCCTAATTATCCATCGCCTATGACCACCATCACGCCACTTCCCAACCAGTCTGGAGAGGCTAAGACGGCCAAATTACACAGTGTTCCTGATGGGGTTGCCCTGCAGATTGCTTCATCAAAAGGCTGTGAGCAAAGTGTCCAGCTGCTGCTAGAAAATGACACAGATGTTAACGCGCAGGGTGGTTTCTACGGCAATGCATTATATGCCGCATCTTCAAATGGCTATGAAAAGATTATACACCTTTTATTAGAGAAGGGAGCCGATATCAATGCGCAGGGCGGGTTTTACGGAAACGCACTATATGTCACAGCCTCGGATAGCCGGGAAAGTTTAGTACGGAAGAAGTTGGAGGATGGAGTCGACATCACTCCGAAGGGTGTCACAGACAGCTTTTGGCATCATGTGTTGAGGAGACGCCCTGAGATCAATGTCCGGAGCGGCAGTCGTGGCAATGCACTTTATGCTGCTTCGATGGAAGGCCACGAGCAGATTGTACAGCTGCTGTTGCAGAATGGTGCTGATATCAATGCGCAAGGGGGAAATTTACGGGAATGCACTATATGCTGCCTTGTCGAAAGGGCGTATCGGAGTTGTATACCTGCTGTTAGCGAACGGTGCTGATGTCAATGCTCAAGGTGGGCATTATGGCAATCCTCTGCAGTTTGCTTCGTCGAACGGCCTGTGTGAACTTATGCAACTACTGTTGGAGAAAGGGGCTGATGTCAACACGCAAGGTGGCTTTTATGGCAATGCGCTCCACGCTGCTTCGTCTGCAGGCCATGAACAGATTGTGCAGCTGCTTTTGGAGAAAGGCGCTGATGTCAACGCACCAGGTGGCTACCACGGTAATGCGCTCCAAGCTGCTTCGTCTGCAGGCCACGAACAGATTGTACGGCTGTTGCTTGAGAATGGTGCCGATGTTAACACACAAGGAGGCCCGCTTGACAATGTAATGTATGCCGCTGTATCGGAAGGTCATATGGAGATTGCTCAGCTGCTATTGGAAAAAGGCTGGAGAAAGCTGCCGATGACAACATGCTGGCCCGTATTCGACTACTTTATCGCTCAACTATCTAAGCAAACATGAAACTCAGTATGACAACTTTGATGCCGAATTATTCGTGCAATCGTCCTATTTTCGTTACAAACACCACTCATCCAGAGCCGTACGGTCGAATCGTGCGAGCCGGACGCTAGCAGCCGGCCGTCGGGCGAAAAGGCCACCGCATTATTCCAGTAGCAGCGGCCCCACCTCAACCCGTTCCTGAGTCTCTACCTAGGTATGTTATTCCTCTCGGAGTCAATAATTCTTTCCGGTGCAGTTGGATCCATGTTGCATTATAGTAACAACTCTTAGGGTCCATTAACTACTCATTTAAAATGGCTCCATATCGTGCGATTTCCGTTGGTGCGCCACTCGGACCGTCGAGAGGTATACGACTCGACTTGCTAAATAGTAGTCTTACTGCCTCGTCCACTTTGGATGCCAAATTGCTTTGTTTCCGTCCGTTATTTCTTTCGTTTGTATTCGGTAGAGCTTGACCGAGTAAATCGTAATAGTAGTATTGTGGATAGTGGCCCTGACTGCCGGCCTGGCGGTTTTGCTGCCTCTGTCCTAGGCGCAGTAGCTCACCGGCACCTAGATGTTCACTAACTATCCGGGACTGAGTACAGTGTGTCAATAGGCATTAGCGACAGATGTGACCTGTTCGCCGTATCTGGGGATTATCTCTAAGAGGTAGGTTGATTTATAGCCAGATATATGCGCCCCTAGAATAGAAACGGACTTTTGGACCAAGTTACTAATAGTCCTACAGCAATGGTGTTATGACAGCGGATCAGATCGAGGCTGTATGTGTCGACGGCTGCTATAGATCTCTGGAAACCGCCTAGAACCACTATCGCCGACGAATGTGCCCTTAACACGGACGTCATCGTGGTCGAGAACGTGGCATATCCCGCTACATTCTTCGTGGATAACTACCTATTCACGTACGAGTTGTCCTACCGGACGGATAGCACCACGGGTGAGTACTACGATCCGCTCGTAGCCTTGTGGTCAAACTAGTCTCTCACGACCAGCTAGTTATGCTCGGACTGCTGGCTGGGCGGGCTCGCCCTAGAACTAGTCAGTCCCTTCGGATATAATAATATTGTGGCATTAAACTATACGTCGCTGACATCCAGCTATAATACGACCACGTATAGCTACGCCACTCTAACGCAATACGCACTAAATACAACGGCTACGACCGAACCGACGGCCGTTATAACTGCCATAGTATCGAATTGCACGGGCTTATATAAAGTGTAAGAAGAAGATACCTACAACTCGGCGGCCTAGGCCCTTAATATATCCACGTATAGTCTGCTCTATATAAACAATCTCGATCTATACTACCTAAACTAGTTTTTGCGCCGGGTGGCGAGTACCACATGCCCAATATGTTAACGGTAAGGTATCCGCTAGCGTCCGCTAGCGCCCGTATCGGCGGGCCCGCTAGTTTTCGCTAGCACACCACCATTTCGATCCCGCGATTTGCCATCAATTACGAAGGTCGTGAGTGGCTAGATCTCGCCATAAGTATATCGGCCTCAAAACTACACAATCTTAAGTAATTAGATAGGGACGTATATTTTCTGGAAAACAAATAAAGACAAGCTAATCTCACCCGTTTAATCCTGAGACTTGCCGGATTGGAACAATCAGAACCTACTAGGAGCCTGGAAGGTGATGCATAATAAAAGCCATTCATTTGTAAAAGAGATGCCTGGGCATAAAGCAGAAAAACGTATTGTCTATTGCTTGGTTGAGTCTTTTTGCCAACTTTCACATACAAAAGATGCATATCTCTTCGTCCATCCAGCCGGTATCGAACATCGAAACATCGCTTACGGCAATGAATGGCGCGCTCATGTACAGCGAAACAGCTGTCGCAGGAAAATAAGAACTTGCCTTGCACAATCACCTATGGTCTCTCATTCAGGGTTTGAAGCTTTGGAAACTTTAACTGGGGAACAACGGAGAGACGACGTCGTCTTTGAAATACTTACATCAATACGCAGAGAAAAACATGCAATATCCAGCTTACAGGACGAGAGCACGACGATGAATATATTAAAAGCCTGTGAGATTTCATCACTGAGTTTGAAAAGCGAATATTGACCTTACATAGTCTTTGAGGGTGATGAACATCCGATTAAAATAACCCAGCCATTTTGCAGTGCTTACGTTGAGTGGTTCGAGTCCGATATCGTCCAAGATGAGAGCGCAGTGATGGCATTAATAAGTTATTGCGGACAGCTCCTTCAAAGGAATTGTACAGCAGAGGGCTCCGCAGCATGCAAAACTACTACACATGCCTGGTTTCTTGAATACATCTTCGGGCAAACGTATGATCACTGTTGGGGCTGCTAACTATGGGGAGAGAGAGAGAGGAAGAATCATGATCTATTCAATCTATCTAGAGCAGGGGATTTATACCCTGCCAAACAAAGAAAGGCTCAGTCTGCAAACAAATGGAGGCATCAATGGGATGACCGACATAGTCCAACAATCACAAAATGAGTTCTGCTGGAGAACAGTGGATAGTCGCTAAAATCTGGGCTATGAGAGCCTTGCGATCAAAGATTGAAAATCGCCCTGACACTTCACCTTTGACTACCTTTACAGTTATATGTTTAGCAGCAAGTAAGGTACGCCTAAACCTCCGACTTCAAAGGATCAAACGTCATGTTTTCAAAAAAATACAAATAAAGACTCCTTTCTGCGTAGCGCAATGCTAACATCACTCCCATTTCAGCTTCTAGAATCAAACCTCCAAGCGTTTAATGACCATTCCAAAGCATTGCAGTCACTTGGTACATTAATAGGAGGCTTTCGTGATCTGCCACTATTCATTAGAGAAATCGTCCACCGGTAAGAATTTGAGACAAAGGGTCCTTCCTCATATCGAATTCTAATCGATTCTTGAATTCAGGCTTTGCTACGACCAGCATACTTGAAAATTCCATCAAAATTGGAACATTCAATCAAAACCTTCAATGGAAGCTGATCTAGTAAAGCATTTTGCGCCTGAGTAAGCGCATTCTTTTTGTGTTCAATACAATCTTTCTCAAGATTTCTCAACAAAGAACAAATAGTATGAGACCTTCGAGCCATCCGCGCATAAACTGCCTGGAGCCAACAATTCAACTGTGAATTTAAATTACCTTTTAAAGCTATATTTTCATTGATCATATGCGAAACCGATAGGGTCAGTTATAGGACTGTCATATGTACACAATCAATCCGCCCATACGATACGCGTTCATCCGAAAAAACATCCTTTTGACTACAAAGTCCTGTTTGTTATCAGCTGTAGGTCGATGGTGATGGCCCACAACTTGAAAAAGAGTAATAATCCAACACAACAGATTCGGTACTGCAAAGATGGCAAACAATACAATTTGAAGACCAATTGCGATATAAAATGAATGACTTTCCCCAACAATTAGTTCATATATCTCGCCGTGTTCGTCGAGCAGCTTCTTCAGTTACTCAAATGACGTCGCATCCATATCGGAGGGGGAGGATGAGTTCTCAGGAATCACGAGAAGTGAGGAACGGCTCCCACCATACTCCCATCAGGCTTCGTTTGAAGAAGGACTGGCTAGCATTAGTTCTCTCTATTTTTTTCTAAGAGCTCCAGGCGCGATTCCGTGATGCCGCCACTTACAACTCAACCTTTTCCTCGCTTGGCCCTTTCTAGTCAAACATCGTGTTGCGCTTCAGCGTGTCACGGCCCTTTTTGACGCCTGGGCGTTCCAAGAGCTTGTCCAGCCATTTTTCCAGGTGAGGAAGCTCGTCCAGAGAGATGCCATCCGAAGCTAGAGGTGTTAACATTGTCATCATTAATTCAACAGAAAAGAGCTAAACAATTAGGTGAAAGCGGAGATAGCCTACTGTGAGAGGAAACCCACCCCAAGCAAGCTATATCGGCAATAGTCAGGCGGTCACCGACGAGGAACCCATAAGAAGACTTGGCCAGGTGGGATTCCATGGTGCGATAGAGGCGACGGGTCTCGTCGTGATAACGGTTGATACTGTACTCAATCTTCTTCGCTGCGTACTCTGTAAGTATCTAGTCAGCATTTGACCATTCAAGTGATCACACTTCTCGGTAACCAACTCTTAAAATGCTCCAACTGTCCTTGCATAGGCCCTAAGCCACCTATCTGCCACATGAGCTAAACAAAAATGTTAATCGTTTTGAGTCGGAGGCTTAAAGCTCTAGGGGTCCCACGCACTTACCCAGCTCTTTACCTCCCAATATTCACGGGAGTCCTTTGGATATGAGACCTTGTAGCCACCGTCGTAGCGGTCAACAAGGTACTCAAGGATGGCACCGCTTTCAAAGACACGGATCTGCTCCCCGTCGGTCCATATATCCGTCATGGCCGGGATCCGGCCATTGGGGTTAATGTCCAGGAACCACGGCTGTTTCTGCTCATTGTCCATTATCTTGATGGGGTATAACTATATACCCAAGGAAAAATATATGTGAGCCTTTTAGACGTTCTATTTATACCCTGTATAGGGCATAAAATCTCTTCGCACCTTATACTCCAGGCCAAGCTCCTCAAGGAGTATCGGAACCTTGATCCCATTTGGGGTTGACGCAGTGTAAAGCGTGATATCAGTCTTGTTACCCATACTGGCCGGTTCGTTTCTTCGCTGTGTAGTGTAAGGGGTCCTATGGCCAAAGGCGAGTGCGGGAAGCATAAATTGTAATCGATTGCGGATCGGGCTAATTCTTATAGCCATTTTAGCCAGCATCGTTTGCCGGGGCTGAAGCTAAAGTAGGCTAAAGATTCTAAACTTCTCTTAGTGACAAACGTCACCACTTGCCGGTAATAACGTGTAACCAGTCGATCCACACAGTCCAACATGGCCGGGCCGGTAGAGTATGAGCAAGTGCGAGATCAGGGGGTCAAGCCGGATTTTAATCACGCGGGATTTTGCCGGAGGGGTGGAGAGTATATTTTTGCATAACATTCCACCTTCGTAACCGATATAGTCATCCATTACCATTTGAGTAATTTGTAATTTTGTCCTGGCTGACGTAATGCAGGGCATGTCATGAGATCCTATGAATGTAAATTGATTGATTCCATTGCACAGTATTCAAATTAGGCTTTGACTTCGCAGAAGACTCTAGCAAAAGTGCGAATGTATGCATCTGCAGATACCACAGTGCATTCAAAAGATCACGTGAGTTGATTGTATTGTCATGACCACTGATGGAGCTCTGTGGGTCAATATGACTTCACATGTGGGCCCTGATGCATAGTTAGTGCGTATCAGGGTGACAGGTTAATACCAAAAAGACGGGTGCTCCAACAGGGTGTAAACGGAGCTTCAAGGTTTGTCTATCACCAATACATATGGTTGGATTACACTTTGAATAGTGTTCTACCAATGCGTTGTCTAGTTTAACCTTTAGGCTACCCACAAAGCACAAAAGTCTGACGAAAATAATTCACCATCGCTTTTCTTGGCGATAAACCATCACAAGGTATACATAAGCAACTTATAACCATGACTTTTTAACCACACTTCAGTAATCCCCATCGCTTATTTAAGTAAAGACGGGTTTCCACAAGCACAGTATCATTTTCTTCTGTTATCATGCACGAACCAACCTACAACCCCGAGTAAGTCCCTAAAGAATCACAACCCTCTCAAACCTCTATGCAGCTCATAATCTAACGTTTTCAAGGTCTCCTCTAGCAACGACCACCATCACTTACCAATATAAGCTGGTCAACTGCCCCGGAAAGACCACTGTCGGAATGCTCGTCGAATATCCTCCGAACGGTGCGACACCCCCTCACCGTCACGGGGGCGCTTCTGTCTCCGCCTACGTGATCCGTGGCTCTGTCTTGAATAAGATGAATAATGATCCGATGAAGGTGATTGAGCACGGCGGCTCGTGGTACGAGGCACCAGGCTGTCATCATCGGATTAGCGCCAATGCGAGCCAGACGGAACCGGCGTCATTCTTCGTGACTTTTGTGATCGACTCGGACACTTTAAAGCGAGCAGGTCCGTCCATACTTGTGCAATATGATGCTGAGTTTGTGGATATTGTAGCGCAAAAAATGCAGGTATAAACTTGGAGTGGCGGGAGTCAGGGAACCTTTTCATTTGTTCTTGGTTTATAACAATAAATTCCTGCTTTATTTTCTTTTTACTGTTGTATTTACCCTTTTGCTAATAGTTATTGTGCAATGAAAATCGCAGAAGTTCTTATCTGGATTAAATCTCTCAGGATATCGCAAAATCTGTAGATCTTGCGGGTATAGGGCAAATCGTTAAAAGATTCGAAGCGTTCCGCGGTTATGTATACCTGCCAACACTTTCAGGTGACAATGCGTGTAGCAAAGCTAGAAAATTACCTGCTTACGTCATTTATCAAGGGACCGGCTAATAGCCTGACAATACTGTCTCTGATAATCCGTACTATTCTCGAAGTACACATAGCCTATTGATAGCCTATCCGAGGGACGGACATGCTACTTGTCTTCTTCATTTCTTGATACCCTCTTTCCTCCCACATTAAATGTATTCGCTAGAGTCACAACCCGCAGAAATATCTAATTCCACCATCTCAACCGTCACTCATATAGGTTTCTCATCACATCTGCTTTTACTTTTGGCGACATGACCAACGATACCGCGCACTACTACGAACGACTTCTGAGATCGGGTCTCGACCCCGAACTCAAAACTGCCAAGAAACTGAATAACAGTAATTTGTCGTAGTACTCGTGTAATTCTCCAATATATAGACTCATGGGTCCTTGGCGGGTTGGGGATAACCCATAGATACTCAAAAAACCATATGGCGCTTTTGTATAAAATATACGCGATGACGTAATAGTGATCTTGTAATATCCGGCTTATAGTCGAGGATGAAGAATCATTTATTTGACATTACGTTTAGGATTATGGGATTATGAATAAGTGAGAAGCTGCGGTTGGGGTGTGTCCATGGAATGTCATCCAATAATGTCTGATTTATGACCGTATATCGATCCTCATTTGCTTGAGAAGATGGAGTGGAGATGGAGATTCTGGCTTCTTCGGTATTGCGTTTTCTCCGCCGTGCGATTTTGTGTATCGGGCGCCTCCGTAGCCTACTCTTATTGGGGCCACTCAATCGGGTATCTCGGATCCCAGAAAGCATAAAAGCCAAGGAAACCTCCTGGGGGACTCTCTTTGCAACCATACATTGGATATAGCAGAAGAACCCGTCGATCTGCAGGCTCTCCAATCCAGTAACCTCAAAATTCCAAGGCTCAAACAAAATCTCCTACCGCTCTCTCCACCATGCAAGCAGTGCGCCATCACCCTCCCGGTGGTACTGAGAAGCTCAGGATTGCCCAGGAAGCCATACCAGAGATCGATGATGATGAGGTACTGGTCAAAGTACACGCTGCCAGCGTTATCTGGATGGAGCTCTATTGGCAGATCTACCAGAAGGATGACGGCACATACAAAACCCCTATCCTTGGAGAGGACTACTCTGGCGTTATAGCAAAGGTAGGGTCCAAGGCGCCCTCTGACAGCGGCCTCCAAGTTGGCACCGAAGTCATGGTTTTCATGAGTAAGGCCTTTCCCACCAAACGAAGCATTAACGGCGGAATGGCCGGCTATGCGAAGGCTCACTTCTCCAAAATGGTCAACAAACCCCGTAGTTTGAGCCTGACTGATGCTGCATCGGTGCCACTTTCCGCTCTCACCGCGTGGCAGGGCCTGTTCGACCACGCGAAGCTCGCAGCTGGACAGACCCTGCTAGTCACCGGAGCGGCTGGTCCGACTGCGATCTGGGCCGTTCAGATGGGCAAGATGGTCGGGGCCAGAGTTGTCGGCACGGCGTCGTCCGAACAAAGCTTCGAGCTCCTCAAGTCGTTGGGAGTAGACCAGATCCTGAACTACAAGCAAGCCAAGCTAGACTCTGTTCTGGAGAATGTTGATGTCGTCTTTGATACAGTGAGCGGTGACACGTCAAGACAGGCCCTGAAGACTCTTAGGAAAGACGGCATACTTCTCCACCTTGTGGGCAAACCGCCCGATGACATCGGCAGGGACCCCAGGGTGATATTCTTTATTGTCGATATGGATGCGGAGCAACTAGCGAAGATTGGGGACTCGATCGACAAGGGCAAGCTGAAGCCGGTCGTTGACTCGGTCTTTGACTTCAACGATGTAGTAGAGGCCTTCAAGAAGGGCGAGACGGGGCACGCTCATGGGAAGATTGTGCTCAAGGGGCCCAATGTATGAAGGTTTCACTGTTGGCCAGCTCCAACGCTGAGGATCCAGAAAGGTTACTCGTTGCCAGACCACGGTGTATGTACGTATATAATCAATTATTCGTTTTCTACACCGCGCCTCAGCAGGTATGATAGGGCAGACACGCACGCCAGAAACTCTGGATCTAAGGTACATAGGCGCCTCAAAGGCTACAGGTGGTCAGTAGTCTCAGAATGAAAGAGAGAAGTTTAGCACCTTATGTCGAATACTAAGATTGAATACATAGTGGAAACAGGGTAAAATACCCTGAATATCATATGACATATGGTACCAGCCATACCATACAAAAGTGCATATTACAGTTAGTCATCTATGTCCGCACAGCTTGTTAAAACCGCGGGTTTTGTCATTTTAGTTAGTTAGAGATTTCAATATATCTGATTTTGTCCATACGTTGTCATACAGCCAGATTTTTATCATATACTAATAATACTAATACTGTAAACCCATACGACTTCATTAACCCATAATTCCTCCCGTGCAAATGTGCTAAAGAAGAGAGTGCACTTCATTACATATGTAAATATACTAAGTAAAGAAAGGGGAATGGGAAGAAGAAGAGAGAATTGGACAAGAGGAGAGCCTCTGTCTCCTCCAATACATGCAAACAGTGCAAACTGTCGGCGTGGAATGGCAGAACCCTGGGCCCATTCTCCAAATATCTTTGAACCTGCCATTACCCTAATGTCTGCGATGTGTCTGATGTGTCTGCGCCTGCTTTTTCAACGTCGGGAATATCCCCTTTCTTTGCCTGAATAGCGTCTTTTTCCACCATGCCATAATCTGTATCAAGCTCTTTGCGCAAAGGTACCTCTTTTTCAAAGATCACCAATATGCAAGCAAGACCGCAGAAAGCAATCGATACGAACCAGACAAGTTTAAGGGAGTCAGAAAATACCCCCATAACCTCGCTCTTCATAGGATCCTTCAGGCTGTCAATAAACGTATCGGACGCGTGCTGGTAGGCGTGGCCATTGGAGAGTAGTTGTCGCACGCTAGCATCTGAAATGCGATAGGCATACTTGTTGAACTGATTGTTGAAGATGCTAGCGGGAATAGCCACCCCCCATATATTGCCGAAGCTCCGCATGAATGCCCAGGTTGCCGTGGCTGCCGCCTGATCCGACTCTGCAATGGGGACTTGGAAGGCCGGGAGCAAGGTGTTTAGGACCATACCAGATCCAAGCGCGGCAATAATTTGGAAAATAATCCACTCCGCATCGGAGGAGTAGCGATCGAGGTAGGCAAATAGGCCCATACCCAACGTGAGGATGATGAACCCTACCATGTGAAGGGCTTTGTACTTTCCAAACTTTGAGAGGATGATAACTGCAATCACGGCGCCGGGGATCGCAACGAGGGTAATAGGCAGCATTTGAACACCCGCTCGGGCTGGCGAAGACCCCAAAATAGCCTGGAAGTAAACCGGGATGAAGAACAGCACCCAGTAGAGGAGAACCGTGAACAAGTATGTGTTGATGAAGACCACGAGGGAGGTTCGGTTTTTGAATAGGCGCGGTGGTACCACAGGCTCCCGACAGAACCGGGATTGTTCGAAGATCATAAATATAACCAGCCCAACAAGTCCTAGCACCAACGGCACGATAATCCGCCACGAGCTCCATGCATAGCGTGAGCCCCCGTATGTCAATGCACAGAGTACCGCTGCCGTAGCCCCCATGATGAGGATATTGCCGATATAGTCGATACGCTTGACCTTCTGGGAAAACGTTGTATCGCGCTGATAGTTAGTGTGTAGAAATAGGAACAGAAGCACCAGCGAAAACCCGCCAACAGGTAGGTTGATATAGAAGACCCATCTCCAAGTTGTTCGCTGGACAATGATTCCTCCTACAAAGGGGCCCATCGAGCTGCCAATCGAGTACACGGTGAGCACGATGGCGATGAAATTCCCGCGCTCACGCAATGGAACGAGATCCGAGACGATCACGTCGACGATCATATTGATACCACCACTTCCAATTCCTTGAACGGCGCGTCCAATGATGAGCATGTTCGCGCCATTTGCGCCACCACAGATGCCGCTTCCCAGGGTGAAGACAGCGACGATAAACATCGTCAACCATCGACGACCGAAGACATTAGCTAGCTGCCCAAATAGGGGCTGAACCGCTGCACTAGAGGATTCCGATGAAGTGTCAATTTCAAACTCAGGTCACTAGGGCTGATGGTAGGGGATAAAGTACCTAGTGAGGAAGAAGGCATTCGTGATCCAGATATAGTTTTCGCCAATATTCAGGTCCTCCACAATTGTTGGCATTGAAGTCGAAACCACCGTATTCTCGAGTGCCCCTAGGAGACCGGTCACACAGAGTGTAAAGATTATAGTCCAGAACTGGAACCCTCTTTTCATTGGCGGAGGCTTGGCGATCGCTTCCTCACTGCCCTCCTCCCCTCGCAGCCCATTTTCCTCTCGAGGCTCGGACTCTGTTTCCTCTACCATGGTTGAGAGACGTTTTCAAATAACGGCGATGCTATCTCTAAAGAGAAGGAAAGGGAATAAAAGCACCAGCACTAGTATCTCCTCATAGAGCTTGAGCTACTCACCACTTCATCCGGCTGCTTGTGTACCTCGGACGATTTCGGTACCTTTCTGTCAGCTAATACGAGGCTCGTATGCAGAATGCTGGACAAGAGTGGAGGGTGAAGTGAGAAAAATTTCTATGGAAATTGACCCCTTCGCCCCTTCGGCGACGGAGAGACAGCCTGGCCGACCTTTTCGGAGCTTTACAGTCCCTCCTTTGTTTGGCCCCGATTCGGATTCTTCCATATTCCCGGATCCGATTAATGACTCCCACGGCATTTCGGTATCGAATAATTTATTCTCCTCATTGTATTAGTCCGTGTGAGTTAATGCTTCTGGCAGTAAATCTAGTAGTAAAACCAGGTAGATCACATACGATCCACCTTGGATCTTAAGGTTCGGAAAGTTCCGAAAGCCAATCGGGAAGTTTATTGGCCCGAGACCCGTTAACCTCTTCAATGCCATTGGGTGTTGGGGATTCATAGGACAGTAATATAATAATTGTAATTTTCCTTCCATTCAAACTTCTATATTCTATTTAATAGACTAGCATCTCATCTCTCTGGCTTCTATGTTTATATGTATACTCTCGTATTGCCACGTCTGAGATTATACCAAAATAGAAAATTGGGGGCCAAACCACACGCTCGTGTCTGTTTCCCCTCCTTTCACTGATTGACCCCTACATGCAATGCAACCTTGGAAGTGTTAGTTGGATTGAAATAAATCCACAATATGTTTACAAGGAAACAAACAGTTCTAATATTCCAGGTGCCCCATTTCGTAAATATCCTGCTTCAACGTTTGGCAGAGAAAGGCGACAATTGAGCCGATGCGAAGATGGCAGCCATCGATCGGGGTGGAAGGAGCGGGCATCTTTGAAGTAACGTTCAGAATGTGTGGTCGCGAAGAAACAAGTCTGGACCGTCACCTGTTTTCTCGTCAGATCCAGTATTCAATGAACTCCACCTATGGCCGGTGACCGTGCCCACTCAGACTACGACGACTACCATCTACCCGATGGTGCGGATTCCTCCTCAAACCGTGGTTATTACCGACGATCCCAATCCTCTTTCGGAGAATGGCGTGACCCACTCTCCCGTCACCCGCAGCGTAACCATCCCCTCCTTACCCATGGAATTCAGCATCAGCGAGCGACAGTCGGGTTAAGCCAGTCACCTACACCAGTGCTTCAGACAAGAAGAATGGACCGCCTTGTATCAATCGTGCAAAGTGTGATATTCCGTGCATGATGCCACTCTTCTGCCACGGTCCTTGCCTGAAGAATTGTGGCGGTGGAGGATTTTCTGCTTCCAACGATCCCAACCCTTTGCCAAATGCTGAACCAGGGCTAAGCGGAGATCCAGACGAAGATGATGATGACTGTACCGAGACTTCCACCGTTACCGATGAATGGGTGTCTTGCAAGACTATTGACTCGACAGCCACCTCATGCACCACTATAAGCTATCACGTCCACACCGGGTACGGGGCGACTCCATCGGCCACGACCACTGGGGTGGACGCCTACTATTCTGTGGACCCGTATGAGGACCAAGGAGAAGACGGTGGAGCATCTTCTAGCTACGTCACAACGACCGATGATCGTAGGATCACCACCACTCCTCATGAAGTGCCAAGCACTACTACTCAAAAGCCGGAGCAGATATATACCGTTGATGGAGGTGTCCTTAAATGCATGTCAGACACCAATGACTTCAAGTAGGGAGATCAAGATCATTTTGCCACCCTAGATCACTTCAACTCAGCTGCTCGCGCTGTCTGCGAGCAAGAAAAGGTTGACTTTTCTTCTGATGGCAGTATCAATTACGGCCTAGATTACGGCTAAGTTAACACCCCGGTCAAACCCATCTTATCTTTCGATATCAGGAAAACGAGCGGGAACAACTGTCCCTCCTTTCCTAACTTTTCTACTAAGCATCATGACGCCGAAATTAAAACGTGTTTACAGAGATTCGCTACGATTATCAACTCTTATAAGTATTCCAGTTAGTGCAAATGGAACCGCGCTAACAGGGTGTTGAAGGTGATACGGCTACCAATGGGCATGATTACTAGAAGCAAGGCGGCACTTTCACAAAAGACCGTATGCAATGGTCCTTGACGCCCTACTAGGGTATGAGGCCCTTGATTTTCCAAGTCAAAATGGCCGTCTATTTCACTTCCCACGATCAACTTCAAACGATTGGCATCTCCAAAGCGAACTGTGCGCTTCATGCTCACTTAGCTCATTCGCCTTATAGTTTACGGATCCTAATCTGGTCTTGGATCCTTGGTGAGACACTAAGTGATTTTGTAAATTTGACCGAGGCCTATTTGAATTAAAACAAAATAATGAATTGCATATTTATGTTCGGTAAAAAAAAGGCTCACACTCACAGACTCATGCAGTAATGGTTTTCAACCCTGAAACTTTACCTATGAGACCCAACGACCATCCTCTAGATATCAAAATGCACCATTTTGAAAGTGAAGACAACTATAAAGAAGAGAGAGACCGATGTAGCAATGAGGAAGCAAACAAGCCAACCCCCTGAGGCTTTGAACGCTGTAATCTGGCGATCTCAAAAGTATGCCAGTAAAGACCAATTCGAATTTTTAATAAGACACAACCAGTTATATAATGTGGGAGCAGTAGACCCTTCGGGAGCTGCTAGTGTCTAGCGTTCTTTATTATTCAAGGACTTGAAGCGAGAGCAACAGCGGAGACCTTCACTGTTCCTAATAATTAATTAATTCCTTAGCACGTTTGTTTCGCCCTCTTACGAGTATTGCATAAATGTTAACTACTGTGCGTACTAGCTAATAAGGTGATCTCAAGAACTCTGAATTGCATTACTGTCGAATACTAAAGGTTGCATATATGGTGGAAATAGGTATTAATACCCAGAAAAATCATGTGACCATTGGTACCAACCATACCATACAAAAGTGCATATTACAGTTAGTCATCTATGTCCGCACAGATTGTTGAAACCGCAGGTTTCTGTCATTTTAGAGATTCTATGGTGCGGTAATTACGTGCTTAGTAATAACAAACAATGACAAACAATTGTGGATCCCTGGATTTTGGCCTCGACAATAAATACTTAACCTCTTCCTTTTCATTCCCCTTCGCCCTACGGATATTCATAATATTCATGAATTTATCAATCGCGCCGAAGATGGATCCCTTCGCAAAATTCCCAACCGAAATTATTTGTCAAATTCTCGAATCTTACTACGACTTCACCAGCTTAGACGGTCTTCAACAAATATCTCCCCGAGTGAAGGAAGCTTTTAACGGCTCGTTTAAAAATACCACCGAACACGTCCTAAGAAACTGCTCCCTCACCTCGCACGGGCTTCATTACTATTTCACGCTCCTAGCCTCCATTCTATCGACATTATTCACTCCACAAGCCCTACTAGAAGAGCTCGCTAGCTCACCAGGGGATGTTATGCGACCTATTTCCCTTTCCACCACCCACTCACTAGCTGCGGTGTATCAGACTATAAATACAGCAGCGAAAATACATCTCACTGCCTACGCTTGTCTTCAGCATTTCATCAATCGGCTCGAGTCCGTAGAGCCCCGCCGTCCCATGGCTTCCGATGCCAATGTTATGGATTGGGTGAATAGAAGACTTCCACCACCCAAAGGTGGCGAGCTAATCCAATTCGATGTTGATCCACCATCATAGATCGAGTCTTATCGGACGTATCGAGGCCTCTGGAAACTTGAGCTCTTCCACCAGATCCATAATGCGGCAACAAACCACTAGCTATGGTCTACGCATGATCTGGACTGCTTCATTGAACAATATCTGGAATGGAGTAAGTATTCGGGGGGAATAGAAGAGCTCCAGTCGATTTCGGAGTGCGTGGTCGATCTATATTCCTCCAAACCAACAATTCTCAGTCATCGGGCTTCATATTTAGTTGCCGTTCCGTCACCAACCGATTTAACGGTACAGGTATACTAGCCTCTGCCAAATATTCAAGATACACAAGTTGATTCGACATGGCGTCGGAGTCCGAGATTTGCGGAGGGCAGAAACGCCGTGCTTGGTTTTTTCAATGCCCTTCGTGGTGGTGAAAAAGGCCGTAGTTATCACGCTCTCTAGAAAGTGGATTTCAAAGCATTTCGACGACTTGGTATACCTATTTGGGACATGTGGCGATTGTACCAAATGAGACTTATGCCCCAATCTCGTAGTGTGCTTTCACCACGGGGCAACTTGGTTGGCGGAGAGTCAGAACAAAGTGAATGGCCCCCTTCGATTAGAGCCTACGTATGGTTTAGTTTAGCAAAGGAAGTTGATGTGATTGTACAGCTTAGAAAATAAGTCCTGAAGTCCTGAGGTCTGAGTTTTTACCAGCCAGCTCTTTCAGCAAAAGAGTGCATTTCAACTAGAATACTAAGTATAGGGAGTAGAAGAGAAAGAAAGAAAGGATTGGTTGGAACAATGTCCTTTATAGGGCCTTAATACAAACTATATAAATAGGGTATTGATACAGCCACCCCCCCTTAGATCACACCACCCCCCTTTGGATATAACCACCCCCCCAATGCCTGGTTCTGCCTGATTCTGCCTTATATCCCAGGCATCAATGTATTCTGCCAGACTAAATTCTGCAGGTTTGAATTCTGGTTTATATAGTAAAAAATGCACCTTTCTAGTCAGAAAAAAAAGCTCATTTCAACTGATTCAATGCTTTTTACTTCTACATAACAGTTCTTTTCTCTCCATATTGCTCACTTAGCTTCCTATGCCTGCACTTGGCCTCGTCCCCGTCCCCGTCCGCGTCCCCGTCCGCGTCCCCGTCCGCGTCCTCGTCCCCGTCCACGTTCCTGCGAAAGCACATGTTCAAATCCTGAGGGGTCTCGCTGGGTGGATCGATCCTCAGTGAGAGGATCCGGAGAAGGCTGTATGGCTTGCTGGCTAGCTCCTTGCTGGGAAATGAAGTTCCGGGCCCCTCGAGGGCGCCCTCGTTGTCGAACATGGAGAGGATCCCGAAGTAGAAGGAGTGGGTCAATTGGTGGCGCTATTACACTGTATAGATGCCAGTGTTGGTGGTACAAATGGGGTTCTAAGCTCTTCTCGTCCTTCTCATATTGCTGGATAAGGTGGATGCATGGGAAACCGGCGGTTTCCTTCGAGTCGCAGTCGCATACAGGTGGAATCGGTAGTTTGTCGTCCCCTTCTGGAAGGTATCGTGAATAAAGGTTCTTCGTAAGCTGGATTGCTTTAAATGAGATCCTCTTGAATAGCGATTCAAATAGCCTCATCTCCTTCTTAGCTAGTCTTCTCATCTTCTGCTTTGCGATCTCATTGTCGATCTTCTGGAATTGGAGTTTGACGACGCGCTCAAAGGTCTGGAGAACAACTAACAGGTCATTTGTAGATACCTGTAGGTCTTGTTTAAGCAACCAGTGACCTCCCTCTATACGAGAAGTGGCAATTTCATTGAGATGGAGGTATTGCTTGGTATGGAAATGAAGGAATTGCTCTGGACAGTCATCGATCCATTCGCTCTGTATGTATTCAACAAGCGGTTGAAAAATTGGGTCTGAATAGTGTTCTTTGAATGATTCCCAGTGATGTTTGAATTCCTCATAAGTAGTAGCGAAAACGACACGGCTCCAATGTTGGAGCATCTTCTTCCATCCCTCATCAACCTTTTCTTGGATCTCTTTCTCTTTCTCGGCCTTTGTGCGGCGGTGGCGACGAGAGGTAGAACTGGTATCTTGGGTAGAGGAATCGACCTGGGTAGAACTAGCCTGTGTGGAATCGGCTTCTTGGAGGGCTTATTTGATTTGCTGTGACAGAATTGGACGCGCTTTCTTCATAATGTTCATATTGATATGCCATAGGCAGATCATGTTCTTTGTAGTAGGAAAGACCGTCTCAATCGCATTCATTAGCGCTTATTCTTTATCGGTGAGTATCGTACGGGGGGGTTCAAGGCTGAGGGATTCGTAGACTTCAGCAAGGCAGTTCAAGATAACTTCATAGCTGTCTTGCTTCTCATTCTTCATAAAGGCAAAGCCAAGATGGTAGGTTGACCCTATGGCAGAGGAGCCCACGATATCAAGCAATGGTAAACGATATTGATTTGTCTTGTATGTACAATCCATCGAAATGACCCAAGGATTGGATTTCAACATAGCGACGCTCGTTTTATGCATACAAAATAGAGTAGTGACAGTGCTATCATCGTCGATTTCGTACTTAAAGATCCATTCCCCGTCCTTAGGGAGCTCCATCAAAAGAGCCTATAGAGGGGTGCGCCCAGCAAGGAACTCCATATGGACCCGTCGCCGGAGGTTGTAGATATCTCGGGATGTGAGACACGAAGCTAGATCATTGTTAAGAACACCAGTAAGAATCTTACGCGTTGGAAGCCCCATTTCAAGTTCTTTCCGTATATCCTCCGTCTTCTCAGAAAGCTCTTGGCTTCTCTGGGCTGCGTGAGTCGATGCAGGAGTAGGCTCATGATTATGGGTACCGTTCTCCATCGTTAAAGACCAGGTATTAGTCTCTAGGTTTAGCCGGAGCGAGAGAGAAAATGGGCAGTCATTTGCAATTGTTGTGGTCTGGCGTTGACGATCATGATCAAGTCGGTCTCGGTGGGTACGGCCTCGGTCACAGCATAGTCGTACAGTCTTCTTCACGCCTTTTTTTGTGCGCTTAGAACGAAGTGTTGATACTGCGTACCCATACTAACGCGCGAAAGTATTGATAGCTGCGATTCCTTCTTCCGGTGAGCTGAATTGTTGGTCCAGAGGGGGAATAGGCATCGAAATCGAGGGAACAGGCGAGGGCGGCGAGGGTATCGCGAGAAGGCCTACTTCAACTGGAAGGCTTGGCATCGTGATCTGGCTTAGCGGCTCTGTTTGGAGGCTTGGCACGGCGGGTGGGGACTCGGGAACAACCTCAGGGTCGGAATCTAGATCCGAATCTAGATATGCAAGGCCTAGGGAGGCCATATTGACGATGGTAATGATGAATTTGATGAAGAAAGTGATGGAAAAAAATGGGTAGGAAGAGAGCAGATTAATGTATGTAAACCAGAATTGGAGTATCAATTGCTTTGATCCTATCTACATGTATGTACGGAGTGTTATGTGACAAAAGTGACTTAATTTTGTACGGGGTTTACATATAAATTGTAGGTATCTGCCGTCTTGCTAGTATTATATGGGGAGTTTGACACGAAGGCGGTGTGGAAGGCGGTAAGCTGAAACCTGAGATTCCAGGCACGGGGGGTGGTTATATCCAAAGGGGGGTGGTGTGATCTAAGGGGGGGTGGCTGTATCAATACCCTATAAATATAAGTTGAAGGTTTTCCTCTAACTTCCCTATCCTATAGGTAGACTTCCGTAAAGCCTAACTTTGGGCCTAAGGTCCGGGCTCGAAACCCGACCCGTAACGAGCTAGGGGTCGAACTTCTCGAGCTCGACCCGGACGCCAACAAATTGATGCAAAGAAAAGGGGGTTCCCTCTCTAATTTAACCAATAAACAATTGCCACCTATTATTTAAAATTATATGATGTAGAACTTCAGCTTGAGCATCAAAACCCTAAGAGTTGACGCCTATCATGTGCGCAACGCCGATGCCTCGCCGCGCTGCCATTGTGGCGCATTCTAAAATAAGTAATGCCGAAATCAGTCTTTCCTTTTTGCATATGTACCGGATAATTCCTGGCACTCAAAACCTTTCCCCCTTCCATTTTAGTGCTCACCCCTTGCCGCTTTTTGGTCACGGAATAAAATTGAGCACGTCCCTAAGTACTCAAGCAATAAACTAGCGAGGATGATATAGACACGTACGCCTCATCTTAACTTGTGCCTTATGTTTCAAGGAATAGTTTAAAGTTAAGAGGATCGCATGTCGAAACAGTCTGGGCAGTTCAAGACGGTGTAGCGTGGTGTGATATGTACTTTGTACAACAGGGTCATGTGTGTGTGTTCCTGTTCCAAAACAAACACAGTCCACGGATGCCAATAATAGCCAGGAACAACCTTGTCCACCTCCCAGTCTCAGCCATTTGCAAATCCCCGAAAACCACTCATCCGCAGGATCCATGGATATATTTGTTCCGCTTACAAGTAAGCTTCTCAACCCCAAATCGGTATCAAACCCGCGGTGTGGGTCGGTTTCCAAAATCCGGTTATATTACACTCAATATACGAAATCCTTAATCTCTAAGACTATCTACATGTAGCTATTGTAGAGAATCTAGTCTGCTGAAGGGTCTTACTTATTTTCCGTTTTAATGCCCCCTCCTCGCCACTTTACTACCGATGCTAAACTGACCGCTGATAGTTACTTTTAAAAGTAGCGGCCCAAGCGGTAAGAAAACCCACGTGGTATAGTCAGGTCCTGGCAATCGTTTGGTGGATACTCAAGGTCCGACTTGATTCACACCTCAGTGAGACATTATCATCCGAAAGGACCTGCGGTATTTTGGACATCTTTCGGACTCGGGCCGTAATTCGATCAGGAGGTGGTCAAGAACGAACGGTACACATAGACAACCTGCTAATCTGGACAAAATATAAATTGTTCATCTTTTTGAACGAAGTCTCGATAAATCAAGACCTAGGAGATTCTGTTTTAGTGAAGCGGCTTGCGAAGGGGCATAATGGCCAAAAGTCGCATGCGTGAATTTCAAGGTATAACTATAAGGCTATCTAACTATATTGGAGATCCTAATTTAACCTTCACTATCGCTTCTACTATCGCTATAGTTATAGGTGGTAAACTCTTGGCCGATTCCTAAGATCCACTAACGAAAAAGCTTCTTTCTAGGGCCCTTTACTATCGCCTCAGCGAGATAAAACTTATCTATTATTAATAGGATAAAATCGATAGTCCTAGGTAACCTAGATAGAAGCTTATTATCCCTTATAATCTGATCACAGAAAGAAGAACCGTTGATGGATTTGCTGACGAAGACCGATCCGACCCGTGGGCGTGTTGTGGCGAGGTCTACCCACAATGTTGCGGTCCCATCCTGACCCTCAATAAGTACGGGTTCGTAAACAGTACACAAATATTCTCAGAATGGAATTAGAGCCTCTTTTTCGCTTTAAAGACCCCGGAGAACTAGAATGCTGCAATTTTACATAGAGTATTGTAGCCACCTTCTTTCCCTTGCACGGCTCCTCCCGGCACATTCGCAATAATAGGAAATAAGCCTCGTATTCATTTCATATTTCTGAGCGTGTCTCGTTTCAAAAACGAGCCAATTCTTTTTAAATTTCCAGCCCCTGGCGATAATTCGGCAGCCTAGGGACTTCATGAATACTAGCGGCAGCTTTAAGACATTTACCTCCAGGAAGTGTGCCTGCGCTCTGTTTTCTTCAGCAATCTCTCCACTCAAGTAACAGCTCTTAAGATATTTAAAATTTAGCAGAATAAGCACAAACTCAAATAGATTGCAATGTCTTGGTTCAATAAACCGAAAGGGGTATTGAGATTACCAGTAGCACACTCGAGCTAGGGAGCGTGGAAAGAAATTTCCCGCCAATCCGCTGCGGATTGAAAGAAAGAAAAGAAATGAAAAATATATAAGACTTCATTCCTATCTACTAAAAAGCATCCAGTATCTTCATCGCCAGTTTTTATTCAATTCAAAGTATTTCGTCTGCGTCGACATGTTGATATTGACACGCAGTGTTGTTCTGGGATTGCTAGGCTCAACGTCCTTGGCCCTCGCCTCTCCAGCTGCCGAACCGGCTGAAGGGGACAGACTCACCCCTCGTGGATCTGCGTGCAGCTATTCAGGAGCCAATGGTGCAGCAGCAGCGATAGCTGGAAAGGCAGGTTGCTCCAGTATTACTCTCAATAACGTTGTAGTGCCTGCCGGGACTACGCTGGATTTGACTGGTCTGGCCACGGGTACCAAGGTAAAAACTCTCCACAAACCCGTGACTCTCTTGCTGCACTGACGGCGAATTTACTGAAAATTTTGTAGGTGATATTTGAGGGAACCACTACTTTCGGCCATAAGCAGTGGGTGGGCCCTCTGATCTCCATCTCTGGGACCAACATCGAAGTTTCTGGGGCTTCCGGTCACGTCATCGATGGCCAAGGTTCCCGCTGGTGGGATGGAGAGGGTTCCAACAGCAAGACCAATCTCAAACCTAAGTTCTTCTTCGCCCACAATCTCAAGGGAGCCTCCACTATAACCGGGTTGAACATCAAGGATTCTCCCGTTCAGGTCTTCAGCATCTCTGGCTCGTCGGGTCTGACAATCAGTGGTGCCACAATTGACAACAGAAATGGTGATAAGAATTCTCTCGGTCACAATACCGACGGGTTCGATATAGGCGACAGTGATCATATTACCATCACTGGTGCTACAGTTTGGAACCAAGACGACTGCCTTGCTATCAATTCTGGGACGGTAAGTGCTCGAAGATTGTCGCCCTGCCTAGCTGCAGGGAATGATTACCACGGTTCTTGCTGACCATTAATACCCAGAACATTATTTTTTCCGGGGGTTACTGCTCTGGTGGGCATGGATTGTCTATCGGCTCAGTTGGTGGCCGTTCCAATAATGTGGTAGACACCGTCCATATCAGCAGCACCCAGGTCATCAACTCTCAGAATGGTAAGCCCGAGCCGGATAATGACTATAAGTTTTCCCGTTTCTTGAACTGATATTTCTGTCAGGTGTCCGTGTCAAAGCTGTCGCTGGCGCCACCGGTAGTATTAAAGGCGTGACTTTCCAGGATATTACCCTCTCCGGCATTACGAGCCAGGGAGTCACCATCCGCCAAGACTACACCAATTCTGGCTACACTGGAAACCCCACGACCCAGGTTCCAATCACTGGTCTCACCTTGAATAATGTGCACGGCACGGTCACATCCAGTGGCACCGATATCACCATCGAGTGTGGAAGTTCTGCCAGTTGTTCAGGCTGGACTTGGACTAAAGTTGCAGTGAGTGGCGGCAAGGCGGATTTGTGCAAAAATGCACCTACTAACACTTGCTAAGCCTTCAATTTTTGCTACTTTGGTGCCGACATGTTTCTGCGCTGTTCGTCCGTTGTCTTTGGACCGGCGAATATTTACAACATGGTGGTAGAGACTTTTTTGTATTCATAAAGAAAGGAATTGCGAGAAAGAATCAACTTGAATAGCTAGGCAACAAAGGTCTTTGTACCCCTTCGGAGCCCGGTTCTGCTTTTCTAAATTCTTCTCCGATATTGGCATTAGGTCAGGTTTTCTGGCGGAATCGCTATATATTTTTTTCAGGTCTTTCTTTTTCTGGTCTTCTAGAGAACCACTTCGGTGTACTTATCTAAATTTAGGTCGCTTAGGTGTTACGCACTGCCAACTGGTCACAGTTAGGTTAGAAGGGTTCCAGGTTATACTTGCCTTAAGCAAGCTTCTCAGTCTTCCAACGTTAACGATCTGTTCTCTCAACCGTACTGTTGCCTAATAGGCCTTATTGTAGGATAGGGCCCTAATTGGTTTTTAAAGTGGAGTAGAATTGTAGAGTATGTGACCTTTATAATTTATGCAATTTTCCTTAAATTTATCATTGGATCGTACGCATCCCTTTTCCTTTTCTCCACTCTTCCCCTCTATACGATGGTGTATAGCGCTCAATACCGAATGCCTGATTTTAATGCCTGAATGCCTTCTTTTGGCCTATCCCATGGGAGGCGGCCTATTGAGCCTGAGTTGGCTTTACAATACATTCTTTACACGTATTTGGTGGATTTGGTTGGTCAAAGAAGAAGCCCTATAACCCTAAGTTGGGATTTTAAATATATCTGAATATGCCACGTAATATAGGCTCGATACTGTTGAGCGAGGTATCCAGTCTGAATATGAGGAAATGAATCTATGGAAACATCGATGTTTGTGTTTGCTTTGGACAAAGAACTTTTAGGGAAGGAGCGACTCTACACTCACGTCTGAGGCACGCCTGAGGCACGCCTGAGGAACGGACGTCTCTAAGGAAATGTGAAAACCCTCAACTCAGGGACAGGCAATTTTCCCTAGAGTTCAGAGGAGATTCCATGGAAACCCAAGTAAATCTCCGAAACCAGTTAGCGGACGATTTCCTAGTTTTCCTTCTCAGCCTGCAGCATGGCGTAATACAGGAAAGACGACAGGTAACTGGCCAAGTCCGGGAATCTCCCAAAATAGCGACGTAAGATTTTTAGACCATTACATTGATTTTATAAGATACATAATGAGGTAATTTTGCTTCGAAGTCAGCGAGTATGCTTTAGACTGTTTGACCGAGCAGAAAGGAAATTCGACGCCTTGCTCGCGACAGCATTGGTGCTCCAGGGCTTCCAGCAAATTGTGAACATATTCGTAGTTACCAGCTTTAGTTTCGCGCTTTTTTGCTTAGCTGTTTTAGCATATATAGAACACTACACAGTTTAAGAATATATTTGATTTTGATACTTGACCTAAAACAGATGTTGTTAAGAAGGATATGGGGATAATGCCTTTATGGGCGAGTAAAAGTAGCCAGGTTGGTTTTGTAAATGGACTCGATATGCTGTTTCTACAGTCTAATTTCTTTGCTGCTGCCTTCTCCGATTTGAGTCCATTCATGAGCCTTCACATCTTGGAAGTCCATAAGTATACCAGGTCCACCAAAGCGGTTCTGTGTAGACTTCCAGTCACGATCGACTGCAATTTCCGGTCGCCACCGGACAAGACCCTTCAATTCCTTTGGTGATTTTCCTTCCAACGCGTCTGAGATAAATCCCCCAATGGTGGGCATCTGCATAGCCCCATTTCCCGAGCCGCCGACGGCCACCACGAGAGATCTATACTCAGGGTGTCGATCTATCAAAAACGCACGATCCACCGTATCGGCATCCCAACAGATACGAGCGAAAGAGAAAGGTCGATTAGCAAGGTGTGGCATGGTGTCACGAAGAAAATCCCTAGCCCGCACCTCGGCTTCAATTGGAATCTGTTGCTTGGCGAAAGGAATACTTCTCTTTTCGCCTTGGTGATCGGGATCCGACACAAAGTTGCAGTACCCCGGATGCTCATCGCAGATCTTAAGCTCATTGTTCTCTTCATCCGGCTCCATGAAGAAGCCCTTTGCGATATTGAAAAGAACAGGCAGGTTGCGATACTTCGTAGCCTCATCGGGCGTCATAGGGAGGTGGCACAAAGTCCAAGCAGTTGGGCGCAGCTGGTTTTTGAAGTCTAGCAGTCGATCGCTACCAGCTCCAGCCGCGAGAATTGTACGCTCTGCATAATGACCTACACTATCTGCAGTTTGGGCCCCAACCACATCCCCATCTTTGTAGACCAAGCTTTCAACGTTTCCTCGGGGCGAGCCTACAACAAATTTTACACCTAGACGTTGCGCCTCGGTGTATGCAGAGACCATGGCCTTACGAGCGTGGATCCATCCTGCTCCGGATCGGCTGATCCAGCCTTTCCAGTTGGGGAAATCTCCTGTCAATACACCCGGCGGCATGGTTTGGCGGAAATCCTCGGCCGAGTCCAAGGCCACCCAGTCGCCTTCGGATTGATCGATCTCTTCTTTTTTGATGTGTTCTATGAGAGCGGGTGTATGGCCCGAGACAATGAATCCCGTTTCATGGAAATATGGTTGGAAGACTGGATCCGTCTTCCAGCCTTTCAATGCAGCCCTGGTGAAGGTTGCAGAGGCGATGCTTCGGGAATCAGGATTCGGGGCTGATAAATATTAACAATTGCTCTCATCCTGGTAGCAGGACGACGCATGCATACTTACGTCTTGGTTCCTTGTGCTCCATGATTTTGTTGATGTCGTTCCCCGCAGCAATGGGCGAGGGCACCGGGTGTGGATCCAGCACTTTGACATTTTTGTATCCTCGGCGGGCTAGGTGAAGGGCAGCTGAGCATCCCCAAGTCCCGGCGCCGACAATGAGAATTGAAGAGTCGGTGAGTTTCTGTGTTGCCATACTATTGTTTCGAGAGTCCGCCGTAGAGACCGTCAAAACTATCGCCAGTGAAGAGGGGCCGAGGGGACTTATGTGCTATTACGCAAAGTCATGTGGTACATACCAGTTTTGAAACATCACTATTTCCATCAAGCTAAGCGGTTAAAATGGCCAATACTTATCAGCTTAGCCTTAGCGGGTATGTTCCGACGGCTGGACCTTCCCACGACTTTCACTTCCGAGGTTGGGGTAAGCTTCTCCGCACGGGGACATATTGATTCTCCACATACACAATCTTGGTCTCATCGAAACTAGTCAATGGGGAGATGATTTACGTGAATGTTTCCTTTTATTCCTTTCAATTCTACCAATGCGATCGCCTGCAGCTTCCATGATTTTATTCCCCTCACAGATGGCTTATCTGGACACGTGGATTGTCAATAGGGTCGGCTATTGCCGACCCAGGATGATCTATGACTTGAGAATTTGAATATAAGGGTATTAAAGCTCCCACTTTTCCTTATCGACTCGTGCTGTGATATACCAATATGGCTCACTCAGATTATATAGAGACCGACGTGCCCGGCACGGTTTATTTGGTTGACAGTATGTTTCAGTGAATACCTCTCTGGCGAATATCGTAATGCTAACAGTGAAATCCTAGCATCTCGCAATCTACGAGATGCTGCTCACGCTGGGCGGCAGGAAATTCTTCTGATTCCTCAACCCTCCAAGTCACCCGCAGACCCTTTGGTAAAATGATAGGCCCACAATGTCAGCGAGCATATCCTAACCATAAGACATAGAACTGGACACGCGTGAAAAAGTTCTGGTCGTTGTTCCTCATCTCCTTCTATGCCTGTGTCTTCTCCTTTGGCGAGAATAATAATGGCGCAAGTTGGACAATGATATCATCCGACACAGGAGTCACACTCAACAACATGAACGGTGCATCTGCTCTGAACTACCTGCTGCTTGGATTTTTCAACATAATCTGGATCCCGTCCGCCATGAAATTCGGCCGCAAAATTGTCTACATTCTGAGCTTGCTGATCCTACTTGGTGGCTCGGTTTGGGGTAAATTCTATCACGGGACGGCTCAGTACTATATTATGCTTGCAGTTCAGGGGGTTGGCACCGCGGCATATCAGGCATTAATCCAACTTACTGTGAGTATGTCACCTACATATTCTGCATAACGTCACTCATCTAAAATAGATCTTTGACATGTTTTTCGCTCACGAGCGTGGTCGAATGGTCTCGTTATACATATTTTTCCAGCAGCTCGGATCAATCCTAGGTTTGATCTTGGGTGGATACATTGCCGATGGCATTGGGTGGCGTTGGAGCCAGCCCATTGTAGCCATTACATGCGTATGTTGTTCTACTTGATTGACTGATTTATTACCGAGCTAATAGTTATAGGGTGTTTTGATACTGCTCTTTATCTTCACCTTTGATGATACTATGTTTCCCCGATATCGATTCAACAATATTCTCGGCTTAGTCCCTACGGATGCACCTGTCAATGGCTTAGATAAGCCAGAGAAGCACCGAAGGGTTGGGTCACCGGTATCTACTACTGTAAGCAATATTTCAGAAGAACAATTACCCGCACGGACATTCCGGCAAAAGGTCACACTAGTTCATTACTTCCCAGACGATCAAACTACATGGCTTCAGTATTTCCGACGGCCATTTTACCTTTTTGCATTCCCTAATATCGTACTCGGTGGGATTCAGTTCGCATTTGGATGCACAGCTGGTATTGTGTCTTTCAACACCATCTCCGAGATCATGACTGAGGCTCCATATAACTGGAGCGCGGGGTCTACCGGGCTGCTATTTCTGTCTGCTCTTATTGGGAACTTCCTTGGGTTGGACTTCACCTATTGTCCCGATTTTGACTTGAATCTTACTAACTATATTGGCTGGTAAGAATGGGCGTTGGCTCTCTTTCCGATTGGCTTGTCTTAGTGCTCTCTCGCCGAAACAAGGGGTACAAAGAGCCCGAAATGCGCATCTGGGCCTATATCTTTCCCTTCATATTTGGTGCTGTGGGATACTTCACGTACGGATGGGCTGCTACAAATGGTGAACATTGGATCGCAGTTGCTGTAGCTCTGTGCTGCCTCATTGCCCAACAGGTGTCGATAACGAGTCTGGCAACGACATATGCAATGGAATGCTTCGATGGGGTAAGTGGGTATCTAATTAGTGGCCTGTGTCCTTCGCTAATTATATTTCAACACTTAGATCTCTGGTGAACTTGTCGTGGTGCTTGCTATATGCTCGTCACTGATCAATTTCGCCATCTCCTTCTCCGTTCAGTATTTTATCGAGGCGACTAACTACGGATGGGCCTTTACTTGCTATGGCATGTTGGTTGTACTGTCTGTGTTGATGAGTATTCCTATGATTATTTGGGGAAAGACATGGCGTCGCAAGTGCAAGGGAAGATATGAGCAGTTCCTGGCTGAGACCGGCCGTGATCATAATCCAGCACTTTGAGGTAGTACGTCACCTCCAGTTGAGGCTCTTTTTTTCGCATATAGCTGGGTAACCCACTACGGCTATGTATAGGTCTATACATAGCTATACGGATGTCATTCTCGATACAACATTTTACTATAGCGGCCTCAGCGCGAAAAGAATTACCATAAGGATTTGATACAATGCTTAAAGAGTAGAGCTAGTTGTCTAGATGATGGATCTTCCATCATACATCATGGATCATTAAAGGAGATCCAGGCGTTATAATAGGCACCACCGATACTACACGATCCGTGCAGGGTCCGCTGTCGATATGGAGCTGGTGTCACTGTCGGTGGGACCTATATCCTCCATATAATCGTACCTACCTATGTTGTACTTCCGTCTCCTGCCACGTGGGCAATGTGGCCCCAAGATCCGATCAATGACTTCCATGCTGCCTTGGAATCCGTTTCCTGTTTGTGAGATAGAGGTCAGCCCCAATCGCGGCCCTGACTTCAGTTGCGGGATGACGAAAAAAGGCGCTCCGTGCAAAAACTCGATCAAACTTGAAGACACCAAGCCCTAGGCTATCAAAAGCTAAACACTCTCACTAGAGAGCCGTTCGAATTGTCAACTTTGCAATCCAAGCTCTGCGGTTGCCAAAGAATTCCTCTACGCGAGATGGCACTAGGCCGAACAAGTTGGCCAGCAGTGGTATAAAGCAGCCGTCCGCAACTAGGCGCGAGTGCTATATAACTCTAGATTTGCATCTCCATCCATTATGCATACGGGCTAGCGTTAGCTGTCGTCAGCCTCTAGGAGACGCCTGGCGGGATCAGATAACACTAACCGGTCACCACCGCACGGGCTTAGACAAGACCCGCTGGTGCCCCTATCGACCAGCCCTAGGCTAGTGCAATTAATCAACCCATTCGTCACTACCGCAATGCTAAGGAGTAACAGGTTCTATAGCCCGTTTCGCCGGCTCGACCACCTGTCCTGATATCGGTCACTAATATCTGGGCGGGCGAATAAGACTTGACGCTGCAGAATCTCAGCTTCAGTGAAGAGGTCGACGACATTAACTATATATTTTGTCTAACCGAGGACGAGGAATAAGCAAACGAATGCGTGATCCTGAGTTGCGATTAGTGCCGAGCGCATTTTCATCTATCCTACGCGGAAGAGTGGTTGGAAATACGACGTATAGCCTTTGGCACGTCATGCTATATGTGCTAAGTAAAGATGGTCTTATTCTGCAATGCCGGGATGAAAGCTATCTCGGGGTCCTGACACCTCACTTTAGGACCTAAGATGAACTGAACCACCTTAATTATGATAGCTCGCAATGATTAAGAGAGGTATTGGATGCCTTAGGGGGTTATAAGACACCCAGCTATCATCTCGGACTTTTTAACACCCTTTCACCCCCCGACCTAGTCTTATATATTTCTCATTCACCTAACATGTACACGAAATATATATTCAACCTCGCTATTAGAACACCGACTTCCTTCACCAACCATCCAACTATTATTAATTGTATATAAGAAATGCGACCATAGTATTAGACTAAAGCAAGTGATAGCCTATCTTTAGGGTACGTATCATCCCCTTAGTTTAGCAAAAGCTCGTATAGGGGCTAGGATCTCACTATATTCGGATTTATGACCTTGGGGCGGAAGCGGAGGCCGAATCGATGCCCACGACCGTAGTAAGCGATCAGCTATTCGACCAAATCGAATAGGCATTCACTAAGCAAGGTGAACTACCCTAGTTAATTGAGCCTGGTGTCACGGATAGACCTTGCCAACTCCCATGGGACTAAGAAAATTTTGGTCCCATAACCTGGTCCCATCACTCCCATGGGACTACGCTAAACCTATCTAGGTAATGGAATTGCCTAAATAGGTAGTGATAATCTGCCTTGGCATTGATTTTGACTGCCAAGACTTTCTCATGGGAGTGGGTCCATGGGAGTTGGCAAGGTCTAAGTACAGATAACTAAGGTTAAAGTGCTAAGCAACAAGATACACTAATTATTACTTGGCGGAAAGGTCTTAATATAAGGACACTAGAAAACGCCTTTCTCTCCTTTTTAAGAGTATGGTATATGTTACGGGCACTCCCGTCACCAATCAGTGGAGATCCACAAGCCACGCCGATGGGCCACCGAGAGCCAACCAACCAACAAGTCACGTGATACACCACGGAAATATATGGTCTTTCCGTTGTACCCTCATGATACAGAATAACACACGGTGTTAGCGAACCCAATATAAGCCATGCCGCAAGGAACCACGTATCCTATAACACGGGCGATCGCACGATAGCAACCATTATAGGACCCCTAGAGACCCAGTGAGTCGGACACGTGACCAGGGCATATCGTAGGACAAGACTTATCCTAGGATGAGACTAGTCGTAGGACAGCCGTAGGGCATACTTGGCTAAGTATGACCCCGGCATTTCATAGGAAAAGGTTAATCGTAGGATACGCCTAACTAAGCGTGACTCTAGGACCTACTCTATAGGAGTATACCTAGGAGTATATAGTGACTCTAGTATCTACCCCTAGGGGGTAGATTAGGGAGTAGACACGAAGGATATATAAGGACACTCGTTCATATACTTAGTATAGTTCTTCGTCTTCAATCATACATTATTACTTGTGTACACCTTTGGAACTTTAGTGACTCTTTACTTGATTATAACTTGACAACACCTACGAGTAGACCAATACCTCGGTATAGATCTCCTTGGCGCTCTACCTAGCATCGTTCCTCGATACCTCGAAAGGACCTATCCTATAGTAAGGCCTGTTAGGCGACAGTACGGTTGAGAGAACAGATCGTTGACGTTGGAAACTTGGGAAGCATAAGGCAAGTATAACCGAACCCTTCTAACCTAACTGTGACCAGTTAGCAGTGCGTAACAGTATACTAAGGCGTACGTATATATACCTAAAGAAAGAAGGGTTCAATCTTAGAAAATGGAGGCTAGAGTATAGATCGGTTATCTTATTAGTTACGAAGGGAATAACGGTTATATATACCGCATTTACGATCCTAAAACTAAGAAACTGACGAGATATAGAGACGTCGTTTTCTAGGAGCAAAAGTATAGCATTCCTCACTACGATAATAGAGAGATTGTTATTAGAGGAGAGATTATTAATAGTCCCACTCAAAGCTTTAAAATAAGAGCTAGTTTACTAGTTATCACTACCTAAAAGACGATAAAGTTAATAATCTTAGAACTAAGAGTGGTTAAACTTAACGATAATAAGTAAGAATAAGAACTATATACGCTATATACCACCCTAAGACCCGTCGAAAAAGCACTAGTACTAGGCGGTTTTATGCCCACGCTATCGCTAAGCACTATAACGCCTATACGTGGGATGTCATCTTCTTCTCCTAATCCTTTAGCAATATCACTAACCCTACCACTATAGGTAAGAACTAGAACATCGGGACGCTAAACTGCCGGCGTTACACTATAAAGATATAATGATCTAGAATAGGATAAGCGAGGTAATATAAGACCACTAGGAGGTGCTATACTAGCTATTAGTATTACTATAGCTAGCATTCTATAGGGTTTATGTAAGCAATTTAGCAAATAATATATTATAGCCTAATGGTAGGTTATAATATTTTATAGGGAAGTAGTATTAGATAAGCTATATATATTATATAATGTCTTATATAATATATATATATAAATATGTATATGGTTATACTTATCCTAAATAGGTAACTCAGATGGCGATGGTAAGATTAATTATTGTTATATATAGGAGTCTTTGCTTCTTATATAGTTCATTAGGAGGCAAATGATGAGATAATCTATGATATCTTTATTACCACAGTATGAGATAATCTATGATATCTGTATTATCTCATTGTCTATGGTATTAGAAAGGAAGTCATAATATAGTTTTTTACTATATGTAGGATATCTAGGGTTCTTCCTAGATAGAGCCAGTAATTTATATATGATCTCCTTCCTACCATAATAGAAATATACTATACTATTATATTATACACTATTATACGCTATTATACACTATTATGCTAAGAGTTTAAAATCTTAGTAGGTTAAGATCCTAAAGAACCTCACCGAAGTAAAGAAATCACCTAAATAGGAGCTTTAGAAATAAGCTTTAGATAACTAGATTATAAAATTGGATACTATAAAAGCGTACTAATACGTCGAAATACCACTAGTAGGAAGTACTATCTTACCTAGTAAGTGGGTATTCGATAAGAAGAGTGACAAATAAGACTTTATAATAGAACTAAGAGTAAGATAGGTTATCTATAGGAATAGATAACGTCTAGGATTTAACTTTAACGATACTCTTAGCATAATAGTGTATAATAGTGTATAATATAATAGTATAGTATATTTCCATTATGGTAGGAAGGAGATCATATATAAATTACTGGCTCTATCTAGGAAGAACCCTAGATATCCTACATATAGTAAAAAACTATATTATGACTTCCTTTCTAATACCATAGACAATGAGATAATACAGATATCATAGATTATCTCATACTGTGGTAATAAAGATATCATAGATTATCTCATCATTTGCCTCCTAATGAACTATATAACCGCCTATCTTAATACCTTAATCGACGATAGATATATTTTTGTAAGACCACTAACCGGCTTTAAGAAACTAGGTATAGTATATATAATCCTACAAGCTTTATATAGCCTTCGACAATCTGTATACTTGTAGTATAAAACGATTAAGAAAGAACTAGAAGAAAAGCTTGGTTTTAAATAACTACTAGATAAAAGATATATCTTCGTCTATAGAGAGAAAGATATATAGCTTTTACTAAATATAGATAATACTCTATACGCTTCCACGATAAAGGAGAATATTAAGTGGTTTAAGACAAATATTAGTTTTAAGATTAAGGTTATAGGCTCTAGGAGGTTATAGGGGTTAGATGGTAGGAAAGAAAAACTAAAGATGAAAGGTAAGAAAGTAAAGAGATAAAAAGGTTGTATTTAGTTAATTGAAGTATATTCAATATAAAGAAGATATTAACCGTGTTGTAAAAAGATTATTATCTCGGTGGTTATAGTCTTATTTATCTCTTTTGAAAATAGATCTAGATAGATCTAATTAAATGTGTTATCGTCATAATAATAGATTTAAAATGCATTGTATAGTTATATTATTAAATCATATGTAATGTTGCATTTTAATAAATTCATATATGGTTTATATTTATTAAATCATTATTTGTAATGTTGCATTTTAATAAATGCATTGTATGGTTATATTGTAATGTTGCATAATGCATTGTATGTTCATATTATATTTTACATTGTATGGTTATATTATTAAATCATTATTTGTAATGTTGCATTTTTAAACTAAAATGCATTGTATAGTTTAAATCACTTATATGTTATATTAATAGGATTATAATAGTAGAAGTATTAACTTTTAAATATGATATAGGCGAGCCTACTAGATACCTAGGAACTAGTATAATAAGATTAATAAACGGCATTTTTATTAACTAAGCTACCTATATAGAAGATCTACTATAGATAGCAAGCTTAGGAAGAGTTTCTACTATATACCTCCCTATAAAAGCTTCCTATAAAACGCCTTTTTCAACCTAGTAAGTAATATCGGATAACGAATAAGAAGGCTACTAAGGAAATAAAGATGATACTATCTTATAGAGCGAGAAGGCAGCTTTCGGAGAAGATATTAGTAAGGTTAGCTAGTTAATAATAAGAACCAGACTAGATATTACTTTCTCTATTAATCGACTATAGAGAAGGACTACTAATCTAAGAAAAGAAGATCTTAATACTCTCTCCTAGCTTCTACGCTATTTAAAAGGATCACCTAACTATAGAATTCAGCTTAACGATAATAATACGATTGGAAAAGGCCTTATTAGCTTCGTCGACTCTTCGTATAACGACTACGAAGATAGAAAGTCAACCGAAGCCTATATCTTCTACTATATAGGCGCACTAATTTTATAGTACTTGCGGAAATAAGACGTCGTCGCTATAGGAAGCACTATCGTAGAATACGTTACACTTAACGGAGTAGTGCGAGAAGCACTCTATCTTATTAAGATACTCTAATAACTAAATCTTAAAGATACAAATACGTTAATCTAAGTGCCGATTTGCACCGATAGCGATAACGCCGTCTCAATCCTAAAGAAGGACGCATTTAACAAGGGCACTAAGTGGCTAGACGTTAAATACCAATTCGTCAAGTATACGATGAAGTAAGGATTGATCGAGATACGACTCATTAACACCAAGGAAAACCCTATAGATATATTGACAAAAGCACTATCAAAGGTTAACTTTAAAAGGATGAGAAACTACTTGGTAAAGAAGAATGATATCGAAGGAAAACCTACAAATTGAAGGTTATAAATTGACGGAATTGACGGAATACGATACTTTGAAAACTACATTTTATTTGACGATTTTACTATGCAAACCAGAATGATTTTTTAACTTGATTTTGATGCTCAGTCTGGGGGGCTGTGTTGGACTATATCGGTCATCCTATTGATGCCTTTGTCTAGTCATCTCATTGATGCCTTCATTTGTTTGCAGACTGAGCCTTTCTTTGTTTGGTAGGGTATAAATCCCCTGCTCTAGATAGATTGAATAGATCATGATTCTTCCTCTCTCTCTCTCCCTATAGTTAGTAGCCCCAATAAATAGGAACCGAGGTTATGGTCTAGTAGTAAGATTGGCTGTATTTTTCCCCATAGGTGGTCTAATGGTTTATTGGCAATACCAAGATTAGGGCCAAATACGGTTTTTGTCACCCCCGTAGAGTTATAGTCACGAGGGATTTGTTAGATTCTCTACGGACCAACATTACCGGTCTACCTAGCTCGGTTCTAAGTACCTAATTAGGGCTGGCATAACGGAAACTAGCAAGGCTAAAATAGACCTAAAGTAGCGCACAATGGATACAGAGCACACAGACGACGGCGCGAAAAACGGCAAGCTAAGGCGAGATGTAACATCGCGAAGCTAGTGTCTAGGCTGTAATTGACATAGGTCTTAATTTATGTAGATGAAGGCGGGTGTTAGAAGACTATACTATTCTCCGGCATCGGTTGTCCTTCTTAGAGCTACACGGTTCGTCCACACTATTTATAAGATAAGCTTAGTCCGACACCCTATACTCAATTACTACTAATCGCGATCCTAAGAATCCGTGTCATTCGAAGATATCGCTATAAAGCTTCGTACGGCTCTCCTAGCCCCATTAGGCCTTACCTTTATCTACAATACTATACCGGCGAACTATCTCCGCTTCCTCTAAGATATAGGGAACCAGACAATCGTCCACCCACCTCTCCTAATAAAGCGTGCCTTTAAGGATAACAAATATAGTAGCACCGAAGCCGGCTAGATCTCGTAGGCTCTAGCCGATACACCTATCGCGGTAAGCCCCTTATGCTAAAGGTTCTCTTAGTGTCGAGACTAAGAAAAAATTGAATAGATAAATCGTATGATCGACCGTAGCGAAGCACTTATCGACTTCCTAAAAAGCAATTCGAAGTCGCTACTATCAGACAAGTTAGTGGCGTCGACGCTACACACGTTCCAATCGATCTTTAGATAGGTATAGTGGGGAAATATCGTTAAGGATAACGAGGACGGGGCGGCGAGAGTGTAGGAACAGATAGGTAGATATAGATATCTCTCTTTCACCTTATTTCATCCCGACAGCGGACTAAAGTGAGTGATACTTAGATCGTGCGACGAAACTTACCGCCGCGCTTAGTAGCGACGTTAGGCTTCTGATTTAGGAGTTCTACTATAATAACAACTTCTTAGATGACGAGGACCCGTTCGGCGATAAACATACGTACTATTCTCTAATTTCACTCCTTAATCGAAGTTCGCGTTAGGATTAATATATAGACAGTTGTCTAGTACGAATACTAGGATAACCGGCCCGCCGAGCGAGGCGGACAGACCATCCGCCGTTTCGATAACCTCCACGGCAGCTGCCGCGACAACACGCTTAGACTTATAGCTTACCTAGACACCTCGCTAGGTGCCAGGATAGAGACGATCACGTTCTATCCAAGTGCGCTAAAGGGGTTCTCAGGCGAATCACTTAAAAGCGTACGCGAAAAAACCTATAGCAAGGGGGAGAGGAACCTAAATGATATCCACGAGAAGGCTCTGGGAGTCAACTTGCTGCATAAGCTGTCGCATTCGTCATTAGTTCTTAGGAGATCTGACGTCTACGGTGTGTTGTTCTATTCCTACCCCGGAAGTGTCGGACAGCATTCGACGGGTTGTCCCGCCGCGCACGGGGAAATCCACTTAGTTTCAATGGCACCGGCCCCACTCACATAGCCACCGGCAGCGCACAATCCTAAGCCGCTGCCGCCTGGGTAAGAAGCGTTTGTCGGCGAGTTGACGTAAGGGACGCCAAGGAAGATGTTCTGGACCTGTAGAGAAAATACCAAATGAACATCCTGTGCCAAGAGGGGACCAGTCCGTTCGCCTCAAGGCGATTTACTTCATGCCCGGGCTCTTTCGCGTAATCTAGATAGTAGGTCTGAGAATTCCAGGGTCATTGGAAGTATACATCCCTTGTGACAAGGCAGATCAGATCATGGAATGAGTCCATTCAACGAAAACACTAAAGCCGAGGAAAGAAGAAGAGAACAGAAAAGGAAGATGACCCAAATCAACAACCTGTTATAGGAGTCCTCGTGTAAGCAATCCCGAATATAAATAGTGCAAATAGCGATCTCGTTCAAACCAGTCCATCACATCCCCCAAACTGATGTTATATCTTTTGTCGGGTTACCTTTTTTCAGCCTTCCTTTGTACGCAAGAGCGCCACTGATGCCTGACTTCATTTATTGTCATGGAACCCTTCTCCTATATCACTACCGCAATATTATCAAATACGGGTCATATAAAGCTTCATGACTGTCTATCTTCGTTGGGCGGGTGGTTTGACTTTACCCAACGTTCGTATATTGAGAGGAGATCATTAGGATGGTACGCTTACTACATCCGGCGGCCTCTACCATCTATGACATAGATGTTTTCCCGCTAATTATCATGTTCCGAATGGGCTCGTGCTTCGATGCGGCTAGATTGGGCGACATCCTAGGTTGACAACTTTTGACTAATGGGTTTTCGAGGTGTAAAAATTAACTCGACCGGGGGTGGACCCACTTTTATTCACCCATACAAAAATGTAAAACTCTAATCCGACCAAGCCCTAAGTCGGCCCTCCCCCATGGGATAGAGATTTGCCGCGATGTTGCTTGTGAAAATTTCTTTAAATGCTTTTCCTAGACGCAATCGTAGAAACAGGATAACACGTCTTGCAGCCATGAGATCTTCTTGGATTGTATATGATGTGAAAGTGGTGTCAGCCTTATTGAACTGTCTACCGTCACTTGCTTGTTAATTTTTTATCTAAGTTCCGCTAATGCACTTCATGCTTCATGTATATGCACCTAGTACAGCTGTTTCAGGATTTTAAAGAACCAGCGATACATATATATCTCTTGACATCATCATAATAGTTAAAGACCGACCTAGACTAATATGTTTCTGCATTTATTATTGCACAACCTTTTTTAGTAGAAGATAGTGACCATAGAATAATGATATTAAGGCCATAAAATGACAGTAAATACAGCTAATTTCCAATTTGTTCCTTATGAGAACCCCGCTAGATTCCACAATAAAGCACTTTTAGGCATATTCTGTTGACGATGTCCTCAAATCTGCATAGCGAAGGAGAGATGCAGTGGTATACAAAAACCACAGAAACAGCTTGTTAGCCACGTTGAATGAGCGACAAAATCTCATACCTGTTCCTAGCTCGTTTCGTCAATATTTCCCAGCTAAAGTAGCGTTGAAGCTGCATTCAGCGTTCAACGAGACTCCCCAATTTAGCCTTCTCACTATCACTCATTATGACACCTCTCTCTTTGAATAGCCTTTTTGCATGGTCAAGGTTCAAAGGCTCTCGGCCTTGGGCACACCTCCTGGCTTCTATGGCAGCGAAGTGAGGACGCAAGGTACTGTCATCCAGTGCAGCTTTAATAGCCTCGATTCCCTTTTCCAGATGGTCTCCTCCGAGCACAAGAACGAGATGAGCATCAGGGGTGGCCAAGACTTTGTGAGCGGCCTCGGCGTGTTTAGCGTCCTCATGACAAGTGACCATGACAGTTGCTTTTCCGACTACGGCAGCTACGGCGTCGCCAACAGCCCAGTTAATCTTGACAGTGACGTCTGAAACACCGGCCTTTGGAAATAATGCGCCATCAGGACCACGTAAGAGAGTCAACTCGGCATCGACACTTTCACCGGGTTGCAGGTCGTTTATTGGATTTTCATCGGTGAGCACAAGTGGACTGAATGTCCTAGGTGGACCTGAAACATCTGTCACGTATCCCCTCACAAAGCCGGATTTGAAGCTAATATCTGAAGGTGCCCGGATAGGGGTGCTACTAGTATTAGTGAGCTTGATGGTGACTCGAACCGGGGCACCAAGAGGTACTACTCGAAGCAGCGGCTGTACCTCCAACTTCAGGTCAGGGACCTCGATCTCGGTGTCCGATGGTGAGATGATTGGAGTGGTCTCCGAAGCCGCAGCAAATGGAACACCACCCGGACGGACAAAGATGTCAGGATAATGGCGTAGGCGGCGGAGATCGATTTCAGCAAAATTCCATTTGATGTTCTGGGGGAATTTTGGAGGCACTAGCTCTCCTGCTGCTGCGATCTGATCGCTCGTGTCCATAAAATATTGATTGCTCAAATTGTGCAAGAGGCCAAATGCGTGCCCAACCTCATGGACAGCTGTGCGGAAGTAAGGAGCCTTTTCTCCACCCCAGCGTTTACCATTTACTAGACCAAAGCCACTTTGAGGGATGTAGTGGGACGACATACCAACGCCCTCGCGGGAAACCTTGTTAGAATCAGTGGCGCCCGCGTCATACATGATTCCACGCTCGGTGGCATCAAGAAATTGTACAGCCAAGATGTGATATCGCCATTCGACATTGAGGTTGCTCTGGTCCCTCCACCTCAACATGGCTGCATGCAGTTCTCCATTGGACCAACTTGGGCCACTGACTTCGGTAACGTTGATTTGGCTTGGGAAAACTGTCAGGTTCCATCCTATCTTGGAGCCAATCGTGGCCCAATTCTCGCCGGCGCCATTATCGAGAGGGCGGTCGGACCCGCTGACGGTGTCTATCTCGATGGATGCTTTTCGGTAATATGATGCAACCCAGCCCATCTTAAGACGACCGACCACGGCACCGGCCGCATTCTTGGTGTCTCCCTCGAGGTAGTCCCCGCTTGAGGGGTATCCTGATCCTGCCGGAGCGCTTATCCAGGTCATATTAGCGCTGAAGGAGCCCTCGTTGACCCATGACCCGTTGCGATTGGCCGGGCTCGGCAAGATATATCGCCAGCGCTGGAATCCAAGTTGAAACGAGTTTCCGGTGGTAGTATTCTCGAGAATATTGGTGATAGAAAGATAGTAGCGGTACCTATTGAGTGGCTGTATTGGGATGCCACCAGCAGGGCTCGGTCTAGGCCCAAGGACTGTCACGCCACTAGGATGACCTGGTTGAGGTGGCAACATAATTATCGGTCTTTGATAGAGATCACCACTGGCAGTCCTGCCTCCAGTGTTGACCTCGACGCGAATGGTGCCATCATAAGCTACCAACGGCGAACCGACCGGCTGGAAATTGACTAACCAGCACCCATGGCGAACCGATCTGATTCCTAGAGTGGGAGTAAACCCATTGACTGTATCATCTGAATCTGTCCTGTCGACTGTCGCAGTTTGGTTCAAAGACCCAAGCGGGGGCAAAACTGGTGGTAGCTCAGGAGGCATAATGGTTTTTTTTTGCTGCGCTGTATAGATAATAGATGAGGGAAGCTGATATCTTACGCAACTTTAACGATTTCGCTCTCCAATATTTTGACCACCGGAGCTTACCTTCCTGTGTTGGGTTCAGTGTTATAAGTACACAATGCACTATCTGCTGATGTTCAAGACGGAGTTATTGATTTTATTACACTCAAAATTTCAGGTGTCAGGAAAATGTTGAGCATTTAAATATCTAGTGATACCATGCCACCCCATCATCAATTGCAATCACATGAACTAATTTGAGATTCCTAAATGAATGAAAACGGACAAACATGACATTCAGATGATCAATTAGACTTGAAGCATGATGAAATTCGTCAGAAAGGGACCATGGTTCTGGATCGCAACTACATTTATTGGTTTCTGGCTTTCTAAAGCGAGTTCGAGTTACGTTATTGCATTGTACGCTCGCAGCATTTAGCTTCTTCGGCTCTTTAGGACGTGATAAGCGGCCAGATTCTGTATCATATCATATTATGAATTAATTGTCGCTTGGAACGGGTTACTCGGCGCCATATTGCGCGAATCAACTTAGGCGACGCTCGATATGATAAGGACTTGGATAGAGGAATGTTGTAAGTGTATAGCAGTTTCCCGTAAGATATGTCCTATATTTTGCGTCACCCTTTCGTGCTATAGAAAACGGCGTCTATTCATGGAAAAGGGAGACCCACGACTGGCAAAATTAAAAAATACTACAAGGATAAGCATATGTCTAGAATGGACTGTGACCAAAGTCCCTCGTTTAAACCAAAGAGCATCTGTATATAAAAACGACAACACGAGCTCGCTTTTGCAAAAGTTCGAATATGTGCTAGAAGTCTTGGTAAAACAGACGTCTAAACGTGATGAACAAGTGATGGTACGTTCTGCCAAAGAATGAATATTCCGAGTGCCGTGAAGTTTTAGCTACTCCGGTAGTACCACAACTCTGGTTAAATCTGTTTATTTCATAACCGGGGATTACAGCTTCAGGCCCCCCACGCAGCTTGTAACAATGCACTATAGACACACTTGATACAACAGCAATATCTTCAGGCAGCCTAATGAAGCCTTAACAAGCAGCTAAACCCTAATGCCCCTAGGATTACGGATTCAGATGCGGTAGGGAACGAACCCTAAATACGACCTTATTAACGCAAAAGAATAGACAGAGTACTGAATATTTCTTGCCATTAGGTTAATTTAAGATTTAGCGTCCGAAGCGGATGACCATTTTCGGGTACGCCACACGACTATTTGTCGATCATTTGAGTCCCGCAACCTTGTGCTAAATTCGTCCGTGGTTCGGCCATCCGCGGTTTCTCACTGTCAAAGTCACACCCCCCTTGTATGTATCCAATCGGTATCAACTGGGTACGAGCTTAAATTCAATCTATCTTGACGGACAGTAGATAACCAGAAAAGGCGTAATCGGGCCTTTGGACGTCAAAAGTCTATTCCTTTTTTCTACATCCACGTGAGGCCCATGAAAATCACCAAGTGATCTGTATACGGCATAAGGATGGTCTTTAAGTCCTTTCTGCATTTTAGACAGCCCAGACAATGCGGGGTTAGAATCTATAGGCTAGTAGATGACCTCACTATTGTCCATCTATATGGGGCTAGACTTTGCATTTTAGGACGGAAACATCTGTTTATCAAGTCACAACTACGTAATGTTTGCAATTTGCCGCGATATGCCGAAACCTACAAATTGTCCTAACTTCTGGTTCTCCTTCCCCGAATATCCGTTTTCTGATATAACGGACAAATTCTTTTGGAACCGAAAGAAACCTGGACTGTGTTACGAGCCAGTTCTTTGAACAGAAAGAGTGCATTCAACGAAAATACTAAGTACAGAGAGAGAGAAGAGAAAGAAAAAGGGGATTGGTTGGCCCAAGGCCTTTTGTGGGGCCTTGGTGCAAACCTTGCAAACACCATCCTCCAAGTGGCTCAACCTGGCAGGCGGTCAGTAACGGCAGAACTACAGTCGTTAACTCTAGATCGTGACATAACCCCCGGCTAAGAACGCATTCAGTCCCTGAATGCCGGTTTGTCATCATCAATGTAATCATCTAGGAAGTTGTCGTGCTATACCGCTTCGATCCATTCCTGCAGACGTAGGGGAGGTAGACTTCGCCATAAACCGCAATTGGGGCCAAACCTTCGCCCCAACCCCCAAACCGCATTGGGTGCGGTTTGGAATCGGCCAAACCGCAACCGCACTGCGGTTTTTGATGGGTTCTGTTGGGGCCCCAAAAAACCCATTTACAACCCATTTTTGCATAAAATCAAGGTCTTGGCATACATAATTCTGCTTATTTATCACTACAAATTACTATTTTTTAACCTTGTATCAGGTACTCTTCCAACTATCACCTTGAATGGGCTACAAAACATTCGAATTTTATATTGCTTTACAGATAGTATTAAAATTTAGTTATAGTTGTATTATTTGGCCTTTTTTGCTATTGGTTTTGAGTAAAAATAGTGTGTTGAATTAAGTGTTGTAATTTTTTACATGTTTTGCCATGGAGATATATATTTGATGTAGTGTAAGCTGAGTGATTTTCCTCGAAGTAAAAGCTGGGGTTCTATAGTTTATGATTTCCCTTATTATTATGCCTTAATTAGTATCATTCGATAGGGAATTCTATAGTTTAAAATTAGGTATTATTTTTAACTAGAAAGGTACTAAAGGTGAGGCTATATCTAAGTTTAAAGCTGCTGTTTTGATAATTATATATGGTTACGAAGTGTTAAGAGGAGTTAGTGGTTTTTTATGGGTTGTAGATAGGTTATTGCGGTTTATCGATAGGTTATTACGGTTTATCGATAGGTTATTGCGGTTTATAGATGGGTTATTGCGGTTTATATACGGTTTATAGTGGTTTATTGCGGTTTATAATCGGGTCGTCGAACGCGGCCACCAGGCGGTGTCCGGGTTCCCGGGCGCAATGATAACCCGGGCGCAATGATACTTTTTTCAACCTAGCCATCTTCATTAATTCACCATTACCCCAGATCTTCATATTATGTCTCAAGAATTAGAAGACCGCATTATCAAGGCTTTAGAAGCATACCATGCTGCTAAGAAGCCCAAAATCGCGTCGATCGCGCGGGAATTTAGCATTCCATACCAAACCTTCAGAGGGCGAGTTCAGGGTCGGAAATCTCGAGCGGCCCAAACCCTAGGCAATAAAGCTCTAGAACCTGAGCAAGAAAAGGCCTTAATTCTATGGATTGATACCTTAGATCAGGCCTTTTCTCCGCCATCAGCAGCGCGAATTTAGGGTGCTGCCTTGCAAATTATCCAGCGTTATGATCCTTCCCGAACCCTAGGAAAAAACTGGGCTTACGATTTTATCGCTCGTTTACCACCGCGCTTTCAAAATATTAAGCAAAAACCTATGGAAAGGGCAAGATATAAAGCTGTTATACTAGGCTTTCTTGTCATATGGTACGATCGCCTACAAATTACGATTAAAACCTATAGAATCACCGAGAAAAACCTATACAATTTCGATGAAACTAGGTTTAGAATTGGCGAAGGAAAGACTGAAAAGGTTGTCTCAGCCCGGGGCAATTCATCGAATTCTACCGGTGGGCAAGCCGAATCGCTTACCGGTATTGAATGTGTCTCTACGGATGGTTGGGTTATACCGCCATGGTTCTTAGTGAAGGGCCAATATCATATAGAAAGCTGGTTTATCGAAACCAATCTACCAGATAATTATACGATCGTTCCAACCCCAAATGGTTGGACTGACGAGATCGTTAGTTTCGCATGGCTTCAGATCTTCGATGAATTTACGTCGTTCCGTGTTAAAAAAGGGGAATATCGTCTTCTTTTAATGGATAATCATAGTTCACATTTAACCTATAACTTCATTGAATTTTGCTGGCAAAAACGAATCATTCCTTATTGTTTTATTCCATATACGACACACGGTTGCCAACCTCTTGATAATACGCCCTTTCAAGTCTTAAAGCATTATTATAAACAGTCGAATAATAATGCTGTCTTCTAGGGTGGTGATCCGAAGTATAAGGCTGAATTCTTCGCCGGGATCCACGATATACGGACAAAATCATTAACGAAGCGCACTATTCGACATGGCTTCCGAGAAACTAGTATTTGGCCAATTAATTCGGACAAAGGCCTTGAGAAATTAGGCTTAGTTGACGATGGTCTTCCTAATATGCCTGGTTTTATCATTCATGATATTGCTTCCGGAACTACACCACCACCACCTTCAAGTTCACTACCAAATTCACCGCCGGCGACCGTGCAAAAGCTAAGAAAAGCGAGCACTAAGGTCATAAAACATATCCAAAATGATACTACAATTTCTCCGAAGGTGCGAGATAGTCTTTCTCGGATTTTGGCGGGTGGGCTCGCTCTTGCCGAGGTTGGTGCTCAATTCGCGGAGGACAATGTGCGGATTCTACGGCGGAAAAGGCAGTCGAATACTGCTAGAACAAAGCGCAGGCTTCCGGAACTAGGCCCTCGCCTAGTTAAGGACTGTAAAAAGCATATTTCCGACCGTGCCGACCGAGAAAGACTACAAATGTTCAACCGGTCGAAGAAAGCATGGCGGGACGCCGCTATTTTAAAAGCAATTGAGGACGGCGACATTGAGGATACAGGTGAAATTCAGGAGGATCCCGATACAGAAATGGCCCCAGAATGGATAGATAATCTTTATTATGTTGATACTACTGGGGATGTTATTTAAATTCAATGAATTAGATGGACAGGTTGGAAAAGTTATCATTGCGCCCGGGTTATCATTGCGCCCGGGAACCCGGACACCGCCTGGTGGCCGCGTTCGACGACCCGATTAGTGGTTTATTACGGTTTATAGTGGAGCTTGACCCACTTAGTTAACTAATTAGTAGCGAGATATAGGTTAGAAACGCGATATATCAACTAATTCTTCTTTCTGCTATTTATCGGTCGTGTTTATAAGGATCTA